TGTGTCACTGTGTGTGATTTTTTAGAATAAAATTCTGTTCTGTTCTGATATAGCTTGCGTTATGCTGTGGGGCCGGCGTTAATTTCTTACTCACATCATGTACACTATAAACAAGCAAACACACTGATTGAACAAGCTGGGATTCTTTTCTACCAATGAACAAAGGGAGACCACCCATGCCAGACTATTTCTCCGAGTGTATCAGTGGAGATCACTCTCCTACCCAGAGTTCCAGTCAGCCAGCATAGTTACGCTAAGTCACCACTGCGCCAGAGTGTGATTTCCGCGGCAGTAAGTTCGGCCGTCCGCAGACCTTGCACACCAGCAAACAGTCTCTAGTTAAGACGAAGGGTCTTTACCAGCAAACATTTTCATAATTAAGCCAGAAAATGCTCAGGGAAAAAACAAACTGAACCTGCCCTTCTTTTTATCAAAGACGGTAAATACGGCAACGGCCACCACAACATTAACTGCTTCCCCTTTTTAAGTCTTTGGCCCCCATGGCATTCAGCCCTATAGGTTTAGCCTTGCCGGAAATGGACTTCGTCTCAGTAACGTAGTTACCGTTGTCGTGGCCAACGTCCCTTCTGTTTTGAACAGATTCACTATCGCTCTTGCTCCCTATCGCTCTGCATTTCGTTGACTACAGCATCGTTTCAAGATCTTCTACTGACAAGATGTTTACAAGGCTGCATATTCAAGGTATTTAAGAATGCAATTATTGTATTTTAAAGTGTTTAATACGTAGATAAGTACTGAAATTGTCCGTAAATTGACAACAGTTTCGGTGGTGATGACACTGGCCGCCATTTGCAATTGTTTTGATTCAGAAATGGGTGCCTTATTAATCTCTTGTTTGCTTTGAAATGAGAGCGGCCCGGGTATAAATATGACGGACGATGTTGTTAAAAAATTATAGATAAATGTGTGACATTGTATAACTTTGATATCTATTTATACGTAAACTACACTTTCAAACGAACGGGCTTGAAATGACATGACTAAAACACATGAACACAATGATGAAATGCCAATTCACGCCTGCTCACGCATGCTCATAGTCTCTAGTACCTGTCTGTCCGTCCATTCAGGTTCTGAGGAGTAAATAATTATAAGAGCTGTACACATTTCTGTAGAGATATGTTGCAAAATATCTAGATCTATATTTGTTGTCTGGAGGCTGGGCGATGTCTCTTATCGCTATTAAGTTGTGTAACCTCGTTAACTCGAACCCCTTAACTCGATATATTCATTGAACATGTATTTTAATGTATTATTAAATTTGTTTATTTTTCTTTTCAGCACGGGAAGACATGATCCGGTATCATGTCACTCCTGCTGCGAGTTTATGGCCGTCGCTGGATGAGGAATCCGACTGTGTATGTAGTTTATCTACATCTGTTTCGGATTCGGCCGCCTAATAGGTCACCTTTGTGCTATTGTCGATGACCCCTCACACACTGTGTACATTGCCCATTTTCTCTGTGTTATTGTGTCCTGAAAAATAGCTGCATGATCCCCCTCCTCCAATTACATGTTTCAAACAGTGGATCAGAATCTTTGTCTTGTTGTACCACCTTATACAGCTAGGGATAGCATGTGTAACCTGTGTATCACTCAAACTTTCTTTTCCACACTGTTATTTAAAAACCGCCTATATACCTTGCCCACTGACCCTCCTTTCTTTCTCCCACCCCACTCACTGATGTAGCGTCCCCAGGCTGCGTCCACGACCCCCTCTCCCAACCCTCTGAGTGTTTTCACCCCATTCTGGGCCCGCCCTGACCACGGTGAGACGCTCCCCGCCCCAGTCACGATCACCTACGTCGACCACTATCCTGCCCCTAGTGATGACGACAGTGACTACTGGGTGTACGAGGACGAGGATGACGACAGCTTCGTGGAGGACCGAGAGGTTCATCCTCTGAAGAAGGCGCTGAAGAGAGTGGCTGCCTTCTGGAGGAGAATCTTTTCGTAGATTTCTCATCCAGTGTGTGTGTATGAGTGCGAGTTTAAATGTGTAAATGTGAGAGGGTGGTTTTTTTAATGTGTGACAGATAGCGTAAGTGTGTATGTGTGTTAGGATGCATTTTTGCATGTGTGATAGAGAACGTATGTGTATGTATATATATGTGTGTTACGATGTGTTTTTGCATGTGTGATAGAGGTTGTATGTGTGAGATGGTGTGTTTTTGCATGTGTTGTTGAGTGTCAGTGTGTATGTGTGAGATGGTGTGGTTTTTTTTGCATGTGTGACAGAAAGTGCAAGTTTTTGATGTGTGTGAGTGTGTGTTTTGAATGTATGATTGGTTTTAAGTGTGTATGTATGAGAGTGTTCGTTTCACATGTGTGTTTGGGTGAGTGTAATCATGTGTATATATAGGAGTTGGAGTGAGTTGCATATACTATTGTGTGTAAGTGTGAATGTGTGACGGCATGTGTTTTGCATGTGTGTTTGATTTTAGAGTACATGTGCGACAGGATGTGTTTTGCATGTGTGTTTGTGTGCCCCTGTAATAAAGCATTTCTCCCTTTTGGACTGGTTTGGCTACACCCTTTCGGTTTATGTTTGGACATACTCTTTCGATCTTCTTTTCATTTGTTTTGGCTCACCCTTTGGCTGACATTTCTAAGTTGATTCAGTTCTCTGATATGGAAGAACCGTTTTTGTGCTTACTTTTGGCCCTACTTTAAATACTACTGTATTCCTTTTGGCACATGCCATTCCATTTCTTGAATATATCTAAATAAATATGGAATAATGGTATACACATGAGTCTGTTTTCCTTCCTTGGATCTAACAACGACTAGGTGACAGCAACACAGCAGTAAAGGCAGGTGACCCTAATGTGTGGTGTTAATATAATTTGAAGTTGTAATAGGAGAATATTTATTATCAAGTTAAGATATTAAGGGGACATTTGCCCTGAACTGTTGTGTTGCTGTCTTCTTGTCAAATTTACTAGAGGAATCACCCATGGAAAGTCCGAACTCAATACCCATGGATAGCTGTTATATAGTTTGGAAGCCGGTGTCGTAACACAGGGTATTTTACATCACTTTCTCACTCACTGGTGGGTACATGTATGGATGAAAAATCGAGAGTTATCTCCCTTCGCCTTCTGCCGATGTTTCTCCTATCATCGATTTTTCAGATGTCTCTAGATATTCCTATTCGTTTACGTTTACGGGTAGCTGGTTGAAAGTAAATATAGCATCTTATATATAATTAGGCACACATGATCACGACAAAAATGGTTAGTTATTTAGAATGACGTCAAAAATTTAAAACGTAAGTTTCTTAGCAAACTAATACCCCGTTCACATGCACAACATTTACTAACGTAAATAATTTTGCAAATGTGTAACTATAACTTTACTATGCGTTCACATGAAAATCAACTTAGGTTTGTAAATAAAGTATGCAAATTGTGTAAGGCACACATATTCGCCAGTCTGTTCACGACTTTCAACACAAGACAGGTTGTTTTCCAAATAAAGTGGAATGAGAAGAGAGTTACTTCAACGAATCTTTTTGCGTGAAGCAACATGTCTTTGATTTAATTTGTACACAAAATTTTGACTCCTTGAAATTAAAAGAAAACACCGTCCGCTCAACTCTGTTTATACGCATAAAAGTTGGCAACTGTTGACAATTTGTTTGATGTTGGCAAAAGAACAGATTTTAATTCGAGCATCCTCTTACGTTGACATAAACGTTCACATTGCAACATAAACCCATATACATATATTAGTGTGCATACGTGTGTAGAAATACTTACGTGAATATAGTGTGTGTGTGTGTGATATGCTACACTTTTTATAGGAATGCCATAATCATATACAAATGATGTTGGTTTATACCAACAGGGTATGTATAAATCCTTTAATTTATCACTCACTTATGAATGAATTTATATGTATTATCTATGTACCATTTTATATATATTTCTACTCTTAGTGATAATAAGTAAAATATATTTATGACGCCACACGGCTACTATTATTCTTCTAACACGGTGATTGATTTGGATATACTCTGTACATGTACAGGACACACTTTTGTTATTTATCGAGTTACACGAGGTCACAGGACCTGATAAAAGATGTCTGGCGGTCGAAATGCGTATAACGAACAACGGATATAACGAATTAAAATTAATGATCCCTTTCAGTTCGTTATAACCGTAGTTTACTGTACCTTAGTCACTACTGGCCACAAATTGCCTACAAGTATACCAACAGATGAGTTGATGTTACCATACACGTGCACCAAAATACCTACCCAATGGTGCGATGCATTCCCAAAACATGACACTTGAACTCACCGGTGGTTTGGGATCAGCATGCTCACCAAGACACCTTGAGACAGTCCTGTGCAACTTTGAACGGAACCACACCCGTCTACGAATCAAATTTTGTGTGGATATGACAATTTTCTCTTCTTTTAAGTAACTTCTAAATTAACGTCTCTTAACAGATGGCCGAGATAATATTACCGGTGCATGTGCATTTAAGATATAAGATAGGCCACTCAACGTTTTCCTTCTGTTATCCCTTAAACTCGGTTAAAGTTACCGATATCCCCGCAAGTCTCGCTTTCTGGGTCTGCCACCTCCAGGTGTGTTTTCCAGAGATTCATGAGTTTTATATCGTTTTAGTAATTTGCGACTGTAGACTGGCTTGTACCCAACATTTCTTCAATTTGGGGGCAAATTACTTCATCATGTGAGAAGGGGATATATATTTGTTTCTCCTGTATGATTTCATCCTTTTTATCAGTGCCATTATGAAGCAGACGACATTTAAACAAAGGGGGATAATTTAACCTATTTCCGGTGCTAACACAAAAAGCCCCCCCATGCAAAAATTCTTGTAAAAAGTTTGTCATTTATCATTATTTTCATACTTCAAAACAGTAAAGCACGAAGAATCACTACAACAGCAGCTATCACGTGAAAATACTTTTGGTCAGTAGGTGTACATGCATTAATAAGCAAAACAATAATAAATCTAATAATAATCATATTAGTTTAATGGCAAAGTATAAAATTAGCTTTTAAATTCCTCCAATAGGTACATTAGAATCATTTCAATGTTTGACTCCATCTTGATATGAGACACAGTCATAAATGATAATTTAAAAATTGTTATAAAAACATTGATATGGATGATAAAGACACAAATTGGTTAACAGGAAACAGTTCCTTGTGATTGCTTCACCAGCAGAAATCTGGCCAGAGTGAAGTATACCTGTTGAATGCACTTAGGATGACCGCATAGTCCCTCGTAGCCCTCATCATTCTCAACACAGATGATGGAAGGAAGACAGGCAGTTGTTTTTTTCCTGTCAAAGGTTAGACTCACTGTACTAATGCATCTCTCATTGGGGACAACCGTTTTCAGTACTTGCATGACAAACCCCTGTGATGATGCAGACAGCTACGGTCATGCTCTCTCCTTTATGATCAAACATGTGTGACGATGCAGACAGCTGTGGTCATCCCTGTTCTTTATGATCATATCCGTGCCACGACGTAGACAGCTACAGTCATGCTCTCTTCTCTATGATCATACCCGTGCCACGATGCAGACAGCTACAGTCATGCTCTCTTCTCTATGATCATACCCGTGCCACGATGCAGACAGCTACAGTCATGCTCTCTTCTCTATGATCATACCCGTGCCACGATGCAGACAGCTACAGTCATGCTCTCTTCTCTATGATCATACCCGTGCCACGATGCAGACAGCTACAGTCATGCTCTCTTCTCTATGATCATACCCGTGCCACGATGCAGACAGCTACAGTCATGCTCTCTTCTCTATGATCAAATCCCTGTGATGATGCAGACAGCTACTCTCATCCCGTCCTTTATGATCAAACCCCTGTGTGATGATGCAGAAAGCTACGGTCATGCTCTCTCCTCTATGATCAAACCCCTGTGATGATGCAGACAGCTACTCTCATCCCGTCCTTTATGATCAAACCCATGTGTGATGATGCAGACAGCTACGGTCATACTCTCTCCTCTATGATCAAACCCCTGTGATGATGCAGACAGCTACTCTCATCCCGTCCTTTATGATCAAACCCCTGTGATGATGCAGACAGCTGTGGTCATCTCCTGTTCTTTTTGATCAAAGCCCTGTGTGATGATGCAGACAGCTACAGTCATGCTCTTTCCTCTATGATCAAAGCCCTGTGCCATGATGCAGACAGCTACGGTCATGCTCTCTTCTCTATGATCAAACCCCTGTGTGATGATGCAGACAGCTGTGGTCATCTCCTGTTCTTTATGATCAAACCCCTGTGTGATGATTCAGACAGCTACAGTCGTCCTTGTTCTTCATGATCAAACTCTGTGTCAGGATGCAGACAGCTACTCTCATCCCGTCCTTTATGATCAAACCCCTGTGATGATGCAGACAGCTGTGGTCATCTCCTGTTCTTTATGATCAAAGCCCTGTGTGATGATGCAGACAGCTGTGGTCCTCCTCTGTCCTTTATGATCAAACCCCTACGTCACGATGCAGACAGCTGTGGTCCTCCACCTGAATAGTTGCCAGTTACCTCTGCCCCACTGAAGTCAAATCCTGGGTTCTGAAATAGATGAGATAACATTTCTGTACTGAACACATTGCATGAAAGATCGCATCAGAGAGAAAGAAAGTGAAAACTTAAAGACAAATATTTTCTCTAAAATTTCACTTTCCACTTTAATCCACACATGACTTTATTAATGCATGCCTAGAAATTATATCCATAATGTCTAAAACAATATTACAGCTTTGTATACCACCTGAACATGCAAAAGGGAACATGCGAAGTCTTTATTTGGAGATATGCTCAGTTTGGAATCCCTGAGACGTCTGAACAGATCCTGATATAAAAAAAGAAATAGGGAGGAAACCGGAAAATTCAACAACTCAATAAAAGCAGCATTTATATGAATCGTTAACAGCTGATTAACAATCTACCAAGTGACTGAGTGAGTGAGTGCAGTTTTATGCTGCTTTTACACCAGAAATGGGCTTCACACAATGTACCTATGTCGGGAATCGAACCCGGGTCTTCGGCGTGACAAGCGAAAGCTATCACCACTAGGCGACCTGACCGCCCCACCAAGTACCTGATTAGGGACCGATCATTTGCTATTGTGGAGGGTGGGTGGGTATGGGTATAGGTATGGAGGCTAGCTATTTTACATCTTCATCTGCAAAACCTGCAGATATTTTTTTTATGAAAACTATGAACCTAAACATATTTTTACAAAAAACTGCTCGCAACGTTTCTTTTTGTGGCTGACAAATTCCTTTTTTCAACAGTCGTGTCAGAAGCACAGTTTTCATTTTAAAGCATTTTCAGGAACAATTTCCCACTGAAAAGAAATTGTGGGTTGGGAGAAAAAAGTACTTGAGTACCTTGATTAAAAACATAAAGATTTGAAAAATATCTCTCGATGCCCAGGGTACACATGCTCGGGAAACCCTCCAATAGACACAAATCTGCACGACAGCTGCCATCAGTGCAGTGTTTGTTTGTTTGTTTGTTTGTTGTTTAACGGAGCACTGAGCAATATTCCAGCTATATGACGGCGGTCTGTAAATTATAGGACCAGACCATCCAGTCATTAACATCATGAGCATATATCCACGCAATTGGGATACAATGACATGCATCAACCAAGTCAGCGAGCCTGACAACCCGTTGGTGGCCTCTTACTACAAGCATAGTCGCCTGTTACGGCAAGCATGGGTTGCTGAAGACCTATTCTACCCCAGATCTTCATGGGTCCTCAGTGCGGTGACATACCTCCATCTGGAAGCGCTGCAGGGTCAGCTTCTTCTCCATCTCACTCAGCGTCAGGGGATCCACTTCGTACTGGCCTCTGATGAGGGACTTCCAACAGTCAGCTGCAGTAGCATGGCATTTTACCAGGCAAATCCTCATCAACCTCCTGTCCTCTGTAATAATAATAATAATGATAATAATAATCGGCAATTTACATAGCACATATTTCCACACCACTTTGGGGCATACTCTAAGCGCTATTATTTGCCTTGGTCACTGGATCAGTGTGCACTCAAGAATCATTCTCAGCTCCCTTTGGGAGAATACAACCCTAGCTGCCTGGGTGGCGCTCGAAGGTTAACAACCACATTGCCATCTCATCCTACCGGGTAATCATGAACCGCACATGACGTGCCTGGGTGGCGCTCGAAGGTTTAGCAACCACATTGCCATCTCATCCTACCGGGTTATCATGAACCGCACATGACGTGCCTTGGTGGCACTCGAAGGTTAGCAACCACATTGCCATCTCATTCTACCTGGTAATCATGAACCGCACATGACGTGCCTTGGTGGCACTCGAAGGTTAGCAACCACATTGCCATCTCATCCTACCCGGTAATCATGAACCGCACATGATGTGCCTGGGTGGCACTCGAAGGTTAGCAACCACATTGCCATCTCATCATACCCGGTAATCATGAACCGCACATGACGTGCCTGGGTGGCACTCGAAGGTTAGCAACCACATTGCCATCTCATCCTACCAGGTAATCATGAACCGGACATGACGTGCCTTGGTGGCACTCGAAGGTTAGCAACCACATTGCCATCTCATCCTACCAGGTAATCATGAACCGGACATGACGTGCCTTGGTGGCACTCGAAGGTTAGCAACCACATTGCCATCTCATCCTACCCGGTAATCATGAACCGGACATGACGTGCCTTGGTGGCACTCGAAGGTTAGCAACCACATTGCCATCTCATCCTACCAGGTAATCATGAACCGCACATGATGTGCCTGGGTGGCACTCGAAGGTTAACAACCACATTGCCATCTCATCCTACCAGGTAATCATGAACCGGACATGACGTGCCTTGGTGGCACTCGAAGGTTAGCAGCCACATTGCCATCTCATCCTACCAGGTAATCATGAACCGCACATGACGTGCCTGGGTGGCACTCGAAGGTTAGCAACCACATTGCCATCTCATCCTACCAGGTAATCATGAACCGCACATGACGTGCCTGGGTGGCACTCGAAGGTTAACAACCATACTGCCATCTCAACCTACCGGGTAATCATGAACCGCACATGACGTGTCTGGGTGGCACTCGAAGGTTAGCAACCACATTGCCATCTCATCCTACCAGGTAATCATGAACCGGACATGACGTGCCTTGGTGGCACTCGAAGGTTAGCAACCACATTGCCATCTCAACCTACCGGGTAATCATGAACCGCACATGACGTGTCTGGGTGGCACTCGAAGGTTAACAACCACATTGCCATCTCATCCTACCGGGTAATCATGAACCGCACATGACGTGTCTGGGTGGCACTCGAAGGTTAACAACCACATTGCCATCTCATCCTACCGGGTAATCATGAACCGCACATGATAATATTTATTCGCAATAATTGGAGTATGAAACAGTGTGCATACTGTTACATACCAAGTTGTGGAATAACTACAAGCCTATACAAGCTCTATTTTTTGTATTGTTTCTTTTGGTTGCAAATGCCATGTGGTCCCCCACTTCTGTTTTCTTGAACATGGGGGGTAACTTTGAAGACTATGTAACAGCTATGACAGTTCAGCGGCAGTTCTGCGTTCGTGCGTGTATATTGGAGACAGAAAGTTTAAACCGAAAAAAGAATCGCTTGGTTAGCCAGATTCACTTGCAACTTATATTTATTTAAGAATGTTCTTACCTAAAGTCCACAGAGAATCATCTGCTTTTACAGTCTCTGCTAAGTAACCCTACAACACATGAAAAAGAAATAATTTTAGTTTGTGAGTACTTCAATTTGACATCAGTGTGTCAGTTAAATGACTTGAGCTGATCTTAAGTGACCCACGTATTAGATGTTTATTAATTCGGTGAAAGAAATGAACAAGATTACGGTGCTAATTGGCAATTGGTCGGTTAAAATATGGGCAAGGTCAGTCTGACATGACCCGTAATGGGATGTCTTCAGATCTTTGTTTAGCGGTAGCGAGAACTAAGATCTGATTTTAATGAGATTCATATTAATATGTAACTAAACATTGAAAATGCACAATTAAATTTCTTTCCTTTACAAGCTTACTGTTTGGCTTGTATTCTAGAAGTTGGTGAGTAAATAAGAACATGAAGAAAACTCTATTGGCTTTCTAAGATAGATAGGAACATTGACCCACAACAGGCCAAACAAACACATCAAACGTGATTTCTAATCATGGAAACCTCAAATTCCTTTATTCAAAATATCAATTTCTACATTTGCAAAACAGCGTCCCAAAATACATTTTGAAACAAGGTCGGATAGGCAATTTGAAGTGTCGTAAAATCGGTGATACTAACATTAATAATTGTGTTTTCCTTCACTGCTACGCGAATGCTGTTCGGCTTGATTTCGCACTTTATTTCTCTTGATTTGGTGTCTTTTGGGACGTCAACCTCTATAAACACTTCGTCGATTGTCTGCCACCATTGTCCCCACGACGTTTTGCATGGAACAACTCCACTCTTGTCGTCGAAGTCCGACATTTTTTATTCTCCTGCATTGGAAGGAAAGGAAATGTATGTCGTAAACATCCTGGAGAGATCGGAACGATATTTATGCTTATTATTTTTTTATAAAGAAATGTGGGCCCCCCGGAATGTGATAAAGTCGGATTTTGGCCGAAGACACATAAATAATTGGGGATTGCTATGGCTTTGTAAAAGAGAGATTGCACGTGTACCGAAAGCGCCAAGCTCCTCACAGCGATATCCCATTGGCGACGTTCTCTATACCGAGAGTGTGACGCGCTGGGAAGGAGCTTGCGAAAGCGCACATAGACCTAAGCTCCAAACAACGACAACGTCGTTCAGGAACTATGAATAACATCCGCAATGAATACCACGCGGTGAAGTGGAGCTACACATGATCGTCTTCCACTTATGGCAGTGGTTTGACATGGAGGAAGCGTGACTTTTTCCATCTGTTTCATCATCACTGTTGACGGATCTCATGCAAGGTATTGCAATATTTATATACTGGCTTTAAAAAGTCAAATGCCCAATGTTAGTTTAGAACAGTGTGCGGACAGTTGCGATAATCGGATTATTTGGATCGTCTTGACACACGTACGTCTTATGCTCTCTTGATCGAGTGACAGTGTGGGTAAGATTAAAGTAAAGAGACTGATCACATGTGTTTTTTTAGTTTATGTTTTTTTTTTACTGCAGTGGGGTCGGGTTGGGTTGGGTGGGGTGGGGAGAGAGATTGGTCTTGGGACTGTATTATATTTAGCTGAACCTCCATTTTATGTCCTAGTTAATTTACTATACTTTTTTTCATGCCCTTACCCCGTCCTTATAACATATGGCAACACCCATAATCACCATTTTGGTCTGTCATTTGTCATTGCCTCTCCCCTATCTGCGTGTCTTTTGGCATTTCTCGTCATGTTCATTTAATAACCCTGTTAATTTGATTGCTAATGTCAATAAAATGATCATAATAAAGAGAACACAGTGTTTCTGTCAAAATTGGTGTCATAGAAAACTCACTCTGATCAGAATCCTTTACATGTTTAACAGGTTTGGATTAACACTACTGACATTATTAACAGCCCTTGTCTGATCTGATATATATTATTAATAATCTATTTCATGTTCCTTCATACGTATATTAACCCTGTGAAGATCCGGGGTAGAATAGGTCTTCAGCAACCCATACTTGCTGTAAAAGGTGACTATGCTTGTCGTAAGAGGTGACTAATGGGATCGGGTGGTCAGACTCGCTGACTAGGTTAATGCATGTCATTGATCCCAATTGCGTGGATTGATGCTCATGATATTTACAGACCGCCATCATATAGCTGGAATATTGCTGAGTGCAGCGTTAAACAACAGACAAACAAATCATACATATCATGGTATGCAGGGAATTATTCTTACCTGTAAACAATTAAAACATTCCTTTCTTGATCACCAACATATCAACATGTGACCCATTTTTGGATTGTGTTCATTCTTTTTTGGGGGGCGCTATGGTTGCACAGATAAACACGAGTGCAGGCTAAAATGGCACCTCAGCAAAACGTCACCGATTTGTACTATTTGGCGAGTGAAAATGGCACCTCTAGTTTCAATTACGATAAGAACAATTTATGTAGTAGTATTGATATTTACATACTTTAATATGTTATGTTGTATATGATTTGTTTACATTGTCTTGTAAATTATAGTAGAGGCTAATTTCTAATGTAAACGTGTTTTAACATTTCTCAATTATTTGTGTTTGCAAGTGACCATGTGCATTTAATTTAATTTATTTCAGTACCAATGTTTAAAAAAAGGTGCTTTTGTCGCCAGGCAATAGTAGTTGTTTTTTCGCTTTATGAGAGGTGACGTTTTCACCAATTGGTGACTTTTTGACTTGGTGTCATTTTAGCTATAACCTGATAAACACACACACATATGCACACACCTGCTATGCCGTTTCCATAATTACTATGCTGTATACGTAACCAATTAATTGTTCATATGATGCAGTTTACCAAGGGAATATAACCAAAGGAGTGAACATAACTTCACCTCGACATGGAGAGAAAAAGTACTGCAAAGTTGTCGGAACTACAACAGATAGAGCGAGAAGTGCAAGCGAGATGGGAAAAGTTGAAAATATTTGAAGAAGATGCTCCTGCCCCAGGCACACCAGAGGCAAAGTGAGTTTAAACATCAGGTCTCATAAATACATTTGAACAGTTTCTAGTACTTTCACAAACAGTTCCTCATGTCTGTACTGCATGTACTGTATTCGACCTAATAAGCGCCCACGGCGATAATTGCTAACATATTGGCTAGTGAACATTTCCAATTAGCACCCCTTCCAATTGATCAATGTACACAAGACTTACTTTTTCGCGTATAATACGCATTCGTGTGTTATATGCACCCTTAATTATGGGCAATTAAATTCTGGAAAAATATATCTGTCGTACGTAAACATTTCAGGCTGTCAGCATAAACCACGAAATCTATCTTTCAACTCTGTTTTTTCCACCAAAATAACATTCTAATAAGAGCCCCCTATTTCTAATTTTGAGAGTGCCCTGGGCGCTTATTACGTCAAATAAGGTAATTGGTATTTCATGTTAATGTAGTTTTCCAGTAACCTATTGTTGTCATAAGCATGATGTGGGATGATTTACATTGTAAACTGGACAAGCTGGTTGTACATCTCATAAACCGCCTTCGTGGCGTAGTGGGGAGAGTACCGTCTCAGAGAGCTGAAGGTCAGGGGTCATCAGTCACACCAGAAGAAATCGAAAGTTGATACTTGCTGCTAGTTAGCATCACTGGTGCTATGCATTATGGGAACAAAACCGTCATCTCACAGTCAGTCTACTACTATCATACTATGACAGTGTGGATTGTTCATTCACAATAGGGCGGTCGGGTAGCCTAGTGAAGACCCGGGTTCGATTCCCGACATGGGTACAATGTGTGAAGCCCCTTTCTGGTGTCCCCCGCCGTGATATTGCTGGAATATTGCTAAAAGCGGCGTAAAACCATACTCACTCACTCACGCATTCACAATATGGATCACTAGATTGGCTGGCCAAGAATGGATGATTTATGTACTGGCTGTTGTAAAGGCTGGAATATTGCTGAGTGGAGCCTTCCAAAACTAACCTGACTAACATTGATGACACAAACAAACAAACAAACAATATTTAAGAAATAAATGACGAGTGGGAGTTGTTTATCATACAATAAAACACTGCAGGAAGAATAAACCATGAGGGGTGGGATATCAACATTATGTGCAGCCTGTTTAAGGATGATGATAAACTGTACAAGCTTTAGAAATAGTTACCGTATTCGACGTAATAAGCGCCTGTGGCTCTCTCAAAATTTGAAATAGGGGCTTATTATTTTGGTGAAAATAAACAGTTGAAAGATCGTAAATTTCGGGGTTTATGCTGACAGCCTGAATTGTTTATATACGACAGATATATTTTTCCAGAATTTAATTGCCCATAATTAAGGGTGCATATAACACACGATTGCGTATTATAGACGAATAAATAAGTCTGGTGTACATTGATCAATCCGAAGGGGTGCTAATTAGGAATGTTCACTAGCCAATATGTTAGCAAATATCGCCGTGGGCACTTATTACGTCGAATACGGTACCTGTATTTAATAATAATGACTTCCTGAATTGAATCTGATCTCGTCAATGTCGGACAAGTCCATTTTTGTGAACAGGTGGGTTTGGTATTGGTATTTCCCACATATTCTCACAATCCTCATGTCGATTATCTGTACCTTTTCTCCCAACACCGATTGTCATATCTATCCCACTTTTGGATGCGATCGTATGCCACTGCGTTTATCTGTGTTGCCCAGCCAGATCTATGGGGGAACAACTCACTTGACACTTCCTTCTAAAAAACAATGTTGTCCAATATATGACGTCATGAAGTTGTGAGCGCTTGTTCGAATCTCCAGAAATGATGTCATGATAGAACAATGTTTTATCGTGAAATAAACCACGCTTCGTTCTTCATTGTTTTTTGCGATTTATCGCGTAGCTATCTTTTATTATCTGATAATTGAAGTTATATACACTGATACAACACATATATAATGAATCTGTTTCAGACGAGAGAAGTACATGGTGACATTCCCCTTTCCATACATGAATGGCCGTCTTCACCTTGGCCACACGTTCTCGCTGTCCAAGTGTGAGGTGGGATAGGTTTTTACCCTTTTACTAATGTTAGCACTAGTAGGTTCAGATTGTAATAGCTGTATGAATCAGTCCTTATATGTAAGAGTACTTCATGTTATAAGTGGAGGCATGGAGGACCCAGTCGTCTAAGACGCTGCAGTTCCCTGTGCAGAGTTACCTCCCTTGGGTATGCCAAAAACAAGCTCCTCACTGCGATATCCCAGTCACGGAGCTCTCTTTGTTATCGCTGACACCAGTTAAAACTCCCCACAGTGATAGATGACCTCAACCATGCTTGGAGTTGAACTCGCAGCCGATTGACCGTTATGTTTACAAACAAGTGACGACTGTCGTGATGCCGAATACACTTATCCCTGCTAAATTACTTTCTGTGTTTGTCCATTTAAAATACTATTTCATTAAAACTATCATGTAATTGATGAAGTAAGAATGTAAGGGAGAAGTTGGTTGATTTTCCGTTAGTCTGCAATCTCGAATCAATCTGATTATACAAACAACAAAGTAAATTCACCTGGAAAACATGGTCAGTCGTAAACCTTTTCCAAATGAACTATGAAGGCATGCCCAAAGACATAAACAAAAGTATGAACGTGACTACATTAGGGGTTAGAGGGCAAATTTCAAGATTCTTGACCGCGCCCACACTGGTGGCAGTGATGTTACCGAGAGTGTAACGAAGGTGTCACGCGCTGGGAAGGAGCTTGTGCCGAAACCTATTATGATGGCTTCAATTACCATTTCGCCCCTATAATGTTTCTAGATTTGTCAGCACCACATCTGTGCCCAAAGTGGTAAACGTCCATCACTTCAGGCTTTCCTCACACATTAAGCTGACATGCTGTGATATATCCGGATAACTTTTTGAAGCAGTGTTTAATCAATGTTAATTGCACCAGTACATCCCTGTTTCAGTTTGCTGTGGGTTACCAGAGGATGCTTGGGAAGAGATGTCTATTTCCATTCGGACTGCACTGTACTGGCATGCCTATCAAGGTGAGTTGCAGGATACCAGACTGTCCAGTGATTGATATCATGAGCATCGATTTTCACATTTGGGTTGGTTTGTTGTTAAACACTGCACTCAGCAATATTCCAGCCATATGACAGCGGTCTGTAAATAATCGAGTCTGGACCAGACGCTCCAGTGATTAATATCATGAGCATCGATCCACACAATTGGGATCGATGACATGCATCAACCAAGTCAGCGAGCCTGACCACCCGATGCCGTTAGTCACCTTTTACGACAAGCATAGTCGCCTTTTACGGCAAGCATGGGTTGCTGAAGACCTATTCTAACCCAGGATCTTCACGGGTCCTTCATTTGGGAAATTATGACATGCATCAACCAAGTGAGCAAGCCTGGCCACCTGATCCTGTTAGTCGCCTCTTATGGCAAGCATAGTCGCCTATTGCGGCAAGTATGGGTTGCTGAAGACTTGTTTTCCATGAAGCCCCCCCCATGAAGCCTGCTGAGAGATCAGTCAAAACACATCTTAGGTAACTTGTATATCTCAGATAAGTATCATTGAGCTGAAATGAACCGATGTTCATCTGAATGCATTGGGTAAGGGAATGTCGGCAATATAAATTTGTTGTCAACTGGTCCCTGATGGCTCGGGTTACATGGGCTCACACACAGGGTGAATCACACCATATAGCCCTCGAGATTGGTTGACATTTTATAGTAAAGAGAGAGCTGCATAATAGACATGTAGGTCCTTGATCCTACTTGTGGTGGACCTAAACTTAAAACAGTGTCAAGATTAGATAACTTGATGATAAATTAACATGGTAAATTAGGTCATTATTGACAGATATCTGAATTAGTCGGGTCCGTTTGGGGTAAATGTAGATGATGTGTGATAGCAGCTGCCCTTGTTTGCCAGGCGTGTGCAGATAAGCTGAAGCGAGAGATGGAAGACTTTGGGTTCCCCCCAGAGTTTCCCCCGGAGAAGGTGGAGGAGGAGGAATCACCAGTGGACAGGGAAGTCGTCATCAAGGACAAGGCGGTGGGCAAGAAGGTGAGGCCACTCTTTAAATATTGTACAATGTGCAGTGTTCTGCTTTGCTGGGATCAGACATAATGAAAATATATTTGTATGTATGTCTCATTATTTCTGGATTTTATTTGGCATGAAGTTGTGTGTTGATGAGAACACAGACACACACAGACACACAGACACACACACACACACACACACGAACACACACACACGAACACACACACACACACACACACACACACACACATACACACACACACACATTGCTGTATAAATGCTATAATCTCGAATGAGAGTTAAACCCTTGTGACCTAACCTCAATTTCAATCCTGTCAGACTTTATCAAATTGATACATACATGCGTACGTACGTCCGTCCATCCATCCAGACGGACAGACAGACAGACTTGGGGCGGTCGGGTGGCCACGTGATCAGATTAGTGTTCGGCCGAAGACCCGGGTTCGATTCTCCACATGGGTGCAATGTGTGAAGCCCATTTCTGGTTCCTCCACCATAGTATTGCTGGAATATTGCTAAAAGCGGCGTAAAATATGATCACTTTCTCTATGCATACATTCAACCAACATGGTCATTGATGGTGTGGAACACATAACTGCCTGTGGTAATGTAACATGTAATAAGAGACGTACACACATTAAACCAAAAAAAACAGGATGTATTACATATCCACAACTATATAATGGGACTTTTTGAGATACTGAAATCAGATATGCTGGTGTGAATGCTTCGCTCACTCGGACAGAGTATTGGGAAGCCTTGATGCTGATTGGCTCATTAGAAAGTTCACCTGACATGACCTCATATGGAGGTCTCCTCAGACCATCATGCTCAGAGGTATCAGAGCAGGACCTCTGGGCCTTCTTAGCGCTAAGGCGATCGTAACTCCCATACTTTAACATAGACTTACGACAATCGTAGGGCTAAGATCGCTTTGTGGAATGGGGCCCTGATTTTAATGAGATCAAGACAATGTCCATGCACACTGTTTACTTCAGGTCTGACAACATCATTCAAGGTCATGCATTTCTTTCAGAGTAAAGTGTTGGCCAAGACAGGTGGTCTCAAGTATCAGTGGCTGATCATGGCTGCTCTAGGGCTGACCAATGATGAGATCAAGGAATTTGCTGACCCCATGCATTGGCTGAAGTACTTCCCCCCTCATTGTAAGAATGACCTCAGAAGTTTGGGAGTAAAGGTAGGTGATTACTGATTGAGGTAACACAGTGTTGGGGTGGAAATCAGGGCAGGTGATTACTGAGAGGGGTAACAGTGTTGGGATGGGGGTCGGGGGCAGGTGATTACTGCGAGGGGTAACAGTGTTGAGATGGGGGTCGGGGTAGGTGATTACTGTGAGGGGGTAACAGTGTTGAGATGGGGATCGGGGCAGGTGATTACTGCGAGGGGTAACAGTGTTGGGATTGGGGTCGGGGGCAGGTGATTACTGTGAGGGGTAACAGTGTTGGGATTGGGGTCGGGGGCAGGTGATTACTGTGAGGGGGTAACAGTGTTGAGATGGGGATCGGGGCAGGTGATTACTGCGAGGGGTAACAGGGTTGGGATGGGGCTCGGGGTAGGTGATTACTGAGAGGGGTAACAGTGTTGAGATGGGGATCGGGGCAGGTGATTACTGCGAGGGGTAACAGGGTTGGGATGGGGCTCGGGGTAGGTGATTACTGTGAGGGGTAACAGTGTTGAGATGGGGATCGGGGCAGGTGATTACTGCGAGGGGTAACAGTGTGTGGATGGGGGTCGGGGTAGGTGATTACTGCAAGGGGTAACAGTGTTGAGATGGGGGTCGGGGGTAGGTGATTACTGCGAGGGGTAACAGTGTTGGGATGGGGGTCGGGGGCAGGTGATTACTGTGAGGGGGTAACAGTGTTGGGATTGGGGTCGGGGGCAGGTGATTACTGAGAGGGGTAACAGTGTTGGGATTGGGGTCGGGGGCAGGTGATTACTGTGAGGGGGTAACAGTGTTGAGATGGGGATCGGGGCAGGTGATTACTGCGAGGGGTAACAGTGTTGGGATGGGGCTCGGGGTAGGTGATTACTCTGAGGGGTAACAGTGTTGAGATGGGGATCGGGGCAGGTGATTACTGTGAGGGGTAACAGTGTGTGGATGGGGGTCGGGGTAGGTGATTACTGCAAGGGGTAACAGTGTTGGGATGGGGGTCGGGGTAGGTGATTACTGCGAGGGGTAACAGTGTTGGGATGGGGGTCGGGGCAGGTGATTACTGCGAGGGGGTAACAGTGTTGGGATGGGGGTCGGGGCAGGTGATTAATGTGAGGGGTAACAGTGTTGGGACAGGAGTCTGTTCAAAGCGACATTAATCCCAAATCACTAACTCACTTACAAGCTCTGTGATTGGCTGCTGCAGGTTGACTGGAGGCGGAGCTTTCTGACAACTGATGTCAACAAGTACTTTGACTCCTTCGTCCGCTGGATGTGCATCAGGCTGAAGGAACGTGATAAGTGCAAGTTCGGGAAAAGGTGGGAGCTTTGGCATTTTCTTGTATATTACAGTATTACTTGTACATGTTGTAAACACCAATATAGATCAGGGTTAGAATTGGTCTTCAGCAACCCATGATTGTCTTAAAGAGGCCACTATGCATGCAACTAATGGGATCGGGTGGTCAGACTTGCTGACTTGGTTGATGCATGTCATTGTATCCCAAATGCATAGATCGATGCTCGTGATGTCAATCACTGGATTGTCTGGTTCGTACTTGATTATTTACAGACCACCATCAGAGCTGGAATATTACTGAGTGCGGCGTTAAACAAAAAAAAAACAAACAAACATTTGTAATGGATACCTGTGGGGTTGCCTTTGATAACAAGGGGTGGTCGGGTAGCCTAGTGGTTAAAGCATTTGCTTTCACGCTGAAGACCCAGTTCGATTCCCGACATGGGTACAATGTGTGAAGCCCATTTCTGGTGTCCCCCGTCGTGATATTGCTGGAATATTGCTAAAAGTGGAGTAAAAACCATACTCACTCACTCTTTGATAACACTCCCTGAGACTGAAAAAAGTCCCTTGTGTATGTATACACGTGTTGATGTACTGAATATTCATCAGGTTCATTGTGTTCCAGGTACACCATCTTCTCCCCTAGAGACAACCAGCCCTGCATGGACCATGATCGGAGTTCAGGGGAGGTAAGCGGGGCTCGTTATTCACTATTTCATTGAGATGGTTCTGTTAATCATGTTACACAATTACAAAATGAAATGTATGAAACAGATGACAGTCCAGGTGGTAAATTGTTCAAATGTGTTGCCTAAATTATGAAATAGTGATCTATTTCAAGACATTTACTTGTTCATGTTACCGTGGTTACCAGTGACATGGGGGCCATGAGGTGCTCTGTCATCTGAGGCACTGTAAATTCAATGCAGAGCAGGGATAGACACGGCCACTAGTCCGTTAATCCGAGACTTGTAAAAATCCAGAGGGACTTGTCCTTTTCTTCCAAAATCTCGCTTTAGAACCTTCACAACAAGCTGATTTTGAAAGTGTAACTCAGAAGACATTACAATCTCATTAAAATCAGATCTAAGTTCTCCCTGCCGCTAAACAAAGATCTGAGGACATCCCATTATGGGTCACGTCAGGTCGACCTTTCATGAACTTTGACCGACGACTGACATGACTAACAAGTCGACATCAGCCAATAAGAAAGCAGCTTTCTCGAGCTTTACGGCACTCCCATCAACCTAGCGATTTCCATTTCTGTCTACACTTGAAAAATATTTTGACACAGTTCTCGATTAATATTTTACAAAAGGAACAAATGAACATTCTGGAATGTCTAATATATGGTTGAGAGTGTATGGCAGTGCTTACTACATACTGTGCAACACCTCCTCCTTTCAAATGTTTATCCCATGGAACTGAGAGATAGACGTTAATTTTGACGGAATCAGTCGTATGGGCCGTAACTGTCGTTTGGAAAACCCCGCGTTAATGTTTTCGAGGTTGCATGATTAGAAAATACATTCCGACGGTAACTTTCGTGATCTGTTAAGCGACGCTTTGATTGGCCGAATGAAAGGTTGTTCTGACGTGACCTGTAATGGGATGTCCTCAGATCTTTGTTTAGCAATAGCGAGAACTTAGATCTGATTTTAATGAGATTGAACACATTATTTCGTTTTAAGTTAGCTCACATTATCAAATCATCGGAATCAAAGATTCACTCCTTTTTCTCCAAAAAGGAGGTGGTAACCCGCAAAAATATAAGAAGATTAAACAGGATATTTTATCACTTTCCCATGGAGTTATATGAACAGATCATGTCTGAATCTTGCAATAAGGCAGAACCCACAACCAAGCGTAGGATTCAGGCAAAATCAGTATGAATCAAGACAAGGTAACACATGTGTTGTGTTGAGTAAAAATATCATTTACCGTATTATCTTGAGTATAGCGGGCACCCATGTATAATGCGCACCCCCCTCTAGCGGATTCAGTATTTTTGAGAAAAAAAATTCGAATGTCAAGCTCAGAAAAAAATTACACCGTAGATCTACCCCTTCAGCGAATTCCGGTAAACGAACACACACGATTTCGCGGAAATTAATTTAAACAATATTAAAAGGAATTTTGAATAAAATTAATGAAAAAAGTTACATACATAGGTCCAGATATAGCCAGACAGTGTAATTACATGATTAATTTTCGTACTTCAGTATGGATTTGTTGACATGGTGTTTCCCATGTTACGTGCTCACGGTAATATCTTTCCATGGGGAAAAAACCATCAGAACTCATTATTTCTTTTAAAATGCGCACCCCCTTCTACACAGCTGTGTTTTTGGGAAAAAAAGTGCGTACTATACTCAAGAAATATGGTATACTTATCCTGACTCATAAGCTATGGCACCCACCTAGTCGTCCTGTCTTTAGATGTGTGTTTCGGACGATAAGTAGGGACGGGAGAGAGTGACGAGTATACCAGCTTGGTCATATGATTCTGGTGCACTTGGCGCCTCAGGGGTGGGTGAAATGTTTTTCTGTTCTCTGGAAACACATTTCAGGACGTTTCCACTACCTTTTCGGAAATTAGATGTGATAAGCAAAATTAGTATGAGTCAGGATAAGTATAAATGATTTTTTGTTTACATGTTATAATTCATAAAATCATTGCAATGTTTCAGGGTGTGGCACCTCAAGAGTACACAGTGATTAAGATGAAAGTCCAGGAACCTTACCCACAAAAACTCAGGTGAGTGGTCTCTTACAAAATTTCAATGTAATGTAGCTTTTGTCTGATCCGTGTGTGATATAGTTTCATAATATTGCTCACCAGGTGGGCTAGCTGGCCTTTAAAGTTTATAGCCGGTTTCAAATTTCACTATCAGTTTATTTTTTCAGAAATTCTACTCTGTGAAATTGTCACTCACATTTTTCGCATTGCTCGCATTAATTTTAAGATTTACGGTATCTGTAAAGAAATTGGTTTCTATTTATCTATAAAGAAAATGAAGTTATTTAGGGCATGGCCATTTATCAAGGGTAGGGTGGGGGCAGATGAGATTGGGGGGTTGGGGGGTATAAAAAATGACAGAGCGACAATGGATGTCCTCAAAATTGATTACTATTGGGGAACGGAGGGGAGAAGAAAAAATGAAAGAGTCGTTTGAACATTATGGACTGGTCGTTATAGTGGGAAGGAGGGCCATGAAAAAATGTTGCATGTATTGGGTGTGTGTGTGTGTGTGTGTGTGTGTGTGTGTGGGGGGGGGGGGGGGGGGGGGGGGGTGATGGGTGATGGGTGTCAGCAAACTGTGATTCCACCCAAAGACCCATCTCGCCCACCCCCATAATAAAGGCTGGCCTGTCCCTATCTATAAAGAAATGGATAAGAGGGTTGTTTGACCTCAGTTCAGTCAGTTTATTCTATTTCCGCCAAAATAAACATTTCTGTTTTCATTCCACAGTTCTCTGACAGGCCGTCCGGTGTTTCTGGTTGCAGCAACTCTGCGCCCAGAGACCATGTTTGGACAGACGAACTGCTGGGTGCGTCCGGACATGAAGTATGTTGCCATAGAGATTGCCACAGGGGAGGTGTTTGTGTGCACGCGCAGAGCTGCACGGAACATGAGCTACCAGGGATTCACAGCTGTCAATGGGGAGTACAAGGTCCTGGTGGAACTCATCGGACAGGTAGGGCATGTTACAGGTAGAGGCAAATACTCACTCACTCACTCACTCACTCACTCACTCACTCACTCACTCACTCCACTCACTCCACTCACTCCACTCACTCACTCACTCCAGGATCTTCTCGCTTGTCAACTCAATGTGGGGTGACTCACTGTAGTATGACTGGGGGGCACAGGTGGCCCAGTTGTCTAAGGCGCCGCGAAGAAACCTATGATTGTGGGTTGGAATCCCGGTTCGCCCCAATTATTAGGTTTGTCAGCACCATACCTGTGCTCGTTGGTTTCACCGAAGTGGTAAATGTCTGAGACCTGCATCACTTCGGGCTTTCCTCACACATTAAGCTGACACGTCGTGATATAACTGGAATACTGTTAAAAGCTGCGTTAAACCCAACTCACTCACTCACTGTAGTATGACTGTAATACTAAAAGCAATATTAAGCCCATACCATGCACTCACTACTTTTTGGCACATATGCTTATGGGATATTCATGTTAAACTGTCTTAGTGGGCAAGTACCTCACCTCACCTCACCTCACCTCACCTCACTATAATAATTTCTTATTACTTTTCAGGACATCATGGGCCAGGCTCTGTCGGCTCCGCTGTCATCCTACCGGACGATCTACACGCTGCCCATGCTGACCATCAAGGAGGATAAAGGTAGGAAGAGGCTGGGGATGGTTCACCCTACAGAACTAACTATCTGTACAGGGCAGGGCTCGTTTTAAGAAACTGGATTTAGCTTGCACCAGGTGCATGTTGACATGGAAACCCAGTTGCACAAGGTGCATGTTGAAATGGAAACCCAGTTGCACCAGGTGCATGTTGACATGGAAACCCAGTTGTACCAGGTGCATGTTGACATGGAAACCCAGTTGTACCAGGTGCATGTTGACATGGAAACCCAGTTGCACCAGAGGACACCAGGGCCCGGGATCATGAAACTAACTTAAGATCATATTTTGTCTTAACTCTTAAGATTTAGACTTAAGACCAAATTTTGTCTTAAATCGGGGATCACGAAGCTCAATCACTGAGAATATCTTAAGTCTAAGACAAAATTTGATCTTAAATCCTAAGACTGCCCCTGAGTAGACTTAAGACAAAATTTGTAGCAAGAAAGATGGCGGAGGTTGTTCGCCTCATGCGTTTGCCTAGGGGCTAAAAAGGACAAAATAGCAAATCATCGGACATTTCGAGACCGATTCAACCCTCTTGATCTGTACAACGACGAAGAGCTCTTTGGGAGATATAGATTTCGTCGTCCTACCATTTTTTTCATCGTTGGTATAACCAGTGATGAACTGGCATAGATTCTACCCCACTCAGCGTTCCCACAGTCTCCCACCTATTATTCAAGTTTTGATATTCCTTCAGTTTTTTGCTATTTGGGCTTTTCACCTTCAGTTGCTCAGTCGCTTTGTGTCAGCCATATTGGATAGTGTTTACAAAATCACGTTATACGTACACCGGTAATGAGACGCAAATACCATCACGTATATTTCAAAATCAGCTGCGATACCTACATCCTTGAATTCCTCATACATTTTAGAATCAAATGCCAAATGGTCTTTGTCACCAATACAAATTGTCTAGATGTAATGAAGCAAAATAAATGAGTCGTGAAAACGAACGCTGAAAAAAGTGCACTTGTTGGAAATGTAAACAAAGCCATTCGTCTATTCGTTGAGTACATTGGCTCAGCATTTTCAGAATAAACACGGGAAGAGAATCGTAGGGAGAATTAGGGAATATATACTTTGCAATGATTTGATATTTTCAACAGAACTTGTCCAGTGTGACGCCATGACTTGACTGACGCAAAATCACGCACAAGGACAACGGTATTTATCAGTATTTATCGGAATTTCCGTTGGTTTCAATGAAAAATATAACAACAAATAACAGTACACAGATTGTAAGAATGGGTCTGATTACTTACATGTCACTTTTATGTATATACGAACCCTGAATCAACGAAAGTCCCCTTGTAAAATCCCGCGTACTGTTGACAGTCAACACGCCATTTTGTAAAAGTCGGTCACCGGTAGTGATGTCATACGTCAACATATGTTGTACATATTAGGTAATTTCTTTGAGGTGAAGGTCCTTGAATGAAAGTACACACGATCATTGTGTCCTAGCAGGCTATTTACAGTTCCAATTATGATGTAGATCGTGCATGTCTTGTGTACATTTTTTCACACATTTAATTTCACTTTGGATATTAATCAATGTTCAATATGATATCATAAGTAGATATAGGCCACAACATGTATGAAGCTTTAATAATATCCTGTTTGTTTGAAAAATGTTAACACATGAAATTGATAAGTTTATAGTGTCGTATACGATATTTCTTTATTTTGGACAAGTGATACTAGATGAAATGTAAATGCAACTGCAACATGTATGTATTTATAGGGAGTGTAATAGTCAATATTATAAGTTCATATAAACAGTGTCCACGAATAGCTGTATAACTAAACTGAAGATATGACTTAAAGAAAATTGATATTATTTTTCGTTAAAATATATGCACAAATTTCTAGAAGAATTGTCCTTGTCTTGGATTTTTTTTTATGCCGTTTGATACACAGAACAGTGATATCTAACGATTCGCCAGGTGCGCGTTAGTCACAAACGACTTATGAATTATTTCTCTAGTTTTGCATTATATAGTCAATGGGTTCATCCTTTATCAAATATTGTGACCACAAGATATTAAACTGTTTACTATATTTCTACAAGAATTGTAAAAAGTTTTAAAATATAACCCGTGCCATGTACCCCGTTGGTGGACGATTATCCTTATACGATTATCCTGTTAATTCTATACCAAGAGAGCTTTTTCGCATCTTTTATGGTATAATTTTGAGACAAGCTGATGAGAAATATAAATACATAATAATGAACAAATACATGTACAATATTGAATAATAATTTTGTTTGGTTTGAAATAATTTTTTGAGTACTTGCATGATTACGTAAAATTTATGCCAAACAGGTGCGTGTCTTGTCCAATTAAGATACACTGTACATTATCGAATTGTTTATCTATTCAAGACATTATTTACATGGTAAACGCAGTCTTTTTATGTTGTGTCGAAAAAGCGTCAAATTCCGTTTTTAACACATGGACTTTTTCCATATCATGAACGTAAATTAGGGGAGATATATATCAATCAAAATACCAGTGTCGTCTTTCTCCGACGTTATCAAAGACAAACAAGCAGCCATGACGTCAAATAGAATTGTGTCATTTTCTTAGTAATTAATAACATTTGATGATACTGCTAGTGATCCATTTAGATAGGTGCAACATGAGTCAAATTACACTTGCACAATCAGGAGAATGTTGGAATCTAAGGACTAATTTATGGTTTACATAGGACCATCCATTTCGCTATCACTCATTTTTTATGAAGTAAAATTTCATAATTTCTGATGGTTTTTTTTATGCCTAAACGTATACAGTTTCAATATCAATATTTGTGTTGGAATAGTTTGGTTCCTCGTGAACAAAACACCACGAAAATACACTGTCCTTACCGACAGCTAATTCTCACCAAGTGACCCTAGTTACAATAAACTAGTGCTAAGCATAGCGCAGTTATGCCCCCTTTCCTTTGAACGCGTGTAACCTCTCTGTCGCCTTTTGACGTCATAACGGTAAATCAGTTTTCGTCATTTACGGCAGGCTATTTTTTGCATTGAATTTATGTCGTTATACATACTCATATAACTTCCTTTGATATATATTTATGTCGTTCAAATATTAGGCAGTATTTTGTTCGCTCACAGTTTCGGTAAAGCTGCTAAATAATTTTTTTTGTCGCACAGTACTTTTATTGGTGTACGCTAAAAAGCAGAGAAATTTCCTGCTTTTCGACGCAAAATAAATTCTCGGACAAAACTCAGCAGCGTCTTTTTTCAAACCGGTTTAATATTTACAGTTAAATTTACACCATCAGATAGGAAATTTAATATTCTACATCACTGCGTAATTTTATAGCCAGAGGTAGATCCAGTGCCGAGTGAGCGCAATTCTCGCACAACCTTCTCTTTTCCGATCTTAGGAAAATGTGCGTCAGAAAAATAACCTCGGCATCCAATGATTACAGTAGTGCGATATTACGTGCGCGTGTCCCTATGACGACGGTCTTAGACTTAGACTTAGCTAAGATTTTGCTGAGACCGTTTCAAGATCCAGTCTTAGAGCGAATCTTAGCTAAGCAAAATCTTTAAAACTTAAGACAAAATTCGTGCTTAGCAAAATTTGAGCTAAGACCACTTTCATGATCCCGGGCCCAGGTCCCATAAATTTATCAAATTTTGAAACATAGGCTGGTCTGATGCCAGTGTCTCATAAATGAATGACACACTGCTGTAAAACAGAACAGGAACATGTGCACATAATCTTGAAGTGCCCACAGTTTGATGATGTCAAGCCCATGAAAGCATTATGAATTACCCATACACAGAGATTATGTTGACATAAATATTAGGATGCAATTTTCAATAATAGGTTGCACTGGTGCATGTTTTATATAGCTAAATTTGAACCCTGGAGGCTAAACTGGCTTAAAGCTAAAAAACAACTCTTTATATGGTAGGAAGAAATGCCAAATTCCTAGTTTCGAAATCTGGAGAAAGCAGAAGCGAAATCTACGTAATAAAATGGCTGGTATTTTTGGAAAAGTTTGGACTGTTTTGTTTTTGTTTTTATTGTTTCAACTCATCGTTAATACTTGTGTTGGTGTCCTCCCCTGAAACAGTGATGTTGAAGGCAGTGTAAAACTCCACTCATTCAGTCAGTACATGGCTCAACTGTTGTCTCTGTCCAGTTCTATATTTTAGTTCAAATACTCTACTCATTGCAATATGTGCGTCATTGAGTTGATGATTGTTTGTGTTACTCGAGATAAGTGTGTTTGTGTTACTCAATATCAGTGTATTTGTGTTACTCAATATAAGTGTTTGTGTTACTCAAGATAAGTAGTTTGTGTTACTCAAGATAAGTGTATTTGTGTTACTCAATATAAGTGTTTGTGTTACTCAATATAAGTGTTTGTGTTACTCAAGATAAGTGTTTGTGTTACTCAAGATAAGTGTTTGTGTTACTCAAGATAAGTGTGTTTGTGTTACTCAAGATAAGTGTATTTGTGTTACTCAATATAAGTGTTTGTGTTACTCAATATAAGTGTTTGTGTTACTCAAGATAAGTGTGTTTGTGTTACTCAATATAAGTGTGTTTGTGTTACTCAAGATAAGTGTGTTTGTGTTACTCAATATAAGTGTTTGTGTTACTCAAGATAAGTGTGTTTGTGTTACTCAAGATAAGTGAGTTTGTGTTACTCAAGATAAGTGTGTTTGTGTTACTCAAGATAAGTGTTTGTGTTACTCAAGATAAGTGTGTTTGTGTTACTCAATATAAGTGTTTGTGTTACTCAAGATAAGTGTTTGTGTTACTCAAGATAAGTGAGTTTGTGTTACTCAAGATAAGTGTGTTTGTGTTACTCAAGATAAGTGTGTTTGTGTTACTCAAGATAAGTGTTTTTGTGTTACTCAATATAAGTGTGTTTGTGTTACTCAAGATAAGTGTGTTTGTGTTACTCAAGATAAGTGTGTTTGTGTTACTCAAGATAAGTGTGTTTGTGTTACTCAGAATAAATGTTTGTGTTACTCAAGATAAGTGTGTTTGTGTTACTCAAGATAAGTGTGTTTGTGTTACTCAAGATAAGTGTGTTTTTGTTACTCAATATAAGTGTGTTTGTGTTACTCAAGATAAGTGTGTTTGTGTTACTCAAGATAAGTGTGTTTGTGTTACTCAAGATAAGTGTGTTTGTGTTACTCAAGATAAGTGTTTGTGTTACTCAAGATAAGTGTGTTTGTGTTACTCAAGATAAGTGTTTGTGTTACTCAAGATAAGTGTGTTTGTGTTACTCAAGATAAGTGAGTTTGTGTTACTCAAGATAAGTGTTTGTGTTACTCAAGATAAGTGTGTTTGTGTTGCTCAAGATAAGTGTGTTTGTGTTACTCAAGATAAGTGTGTTTGTGTTACTCAAGATAAGTGTGTTTGTGTTACTCAAGATAAGTGTTTGTGTTACTCAAGATAAGTGTGTTTGTGTTACTCAAGATAAGTGTGTTTGTGTTACTCAAGATAAGTGTTTGTGTTACTCAAGATAAGTGAGTTTGTGTTACTCAATATAAGTGTTTGTGTTACTCAAGATAAGTGTGTTTGTGTTACTCAAGATAAGTGTGTTTGTGTTACTCAAGATAAGTGTGTTTGTGTTACTCAAGATAAGTGTGTTTGTGTTACTCAAGATAAGTGTGTTTGTGTTACTCAAGATAAGTGTTTGTGTTACTCAAGATAAGTGTGTTTGTGTTACTCAATATAAGTGTTTGTGTTACTCAAGATAAGTGTTTGTGTTACTCAAGATAAGTGAGTTTGTGTTACTCAAGATAAGTGTGTTTGTGTTACTCAAGATAAGTGTGTTTGTGTTACTCAAGATAAGTGTTTTTGTGTTACTCAATATAAGTGTGTTTGTGTTACTCAAGATAAGTGTGTTTGTGTTACTCAAGATAAGTGTGTTTGTGTTACTCAAGATAAGTGTGTTTGTGTTACTCAGAATAAATGTTTGTGTTACTCAAGATAAGTGTGTTTGTGTTACTCAAGATAAGTGTGTTTGTGTTACTCAAGATAAGTGTGTTTTTGTTACTCAATATAAGTGTGTTTGTGTTACTCAAGATAAGTGTGTTTGTGTTACTCAAGATAAGTGTGTTTGTGTTACTCAAGATAAGTGTGTTTGTGTTACTCAAGATAAGTGTTTGTGTTACTCAAGATAAGTGTGTTTGTGTTACTCAAGATAAGTGTTTGTGTTACTCAAGATAAGTGTGTTTGTGTTACTCAAGATAAGTGAGTTTGTGTTACTCAAGATAAGTGTTTGTGTTACTCAAGATAAGTGTGTTTGTGTTGCTCAAGATAAGTGTGTTTGTGTTACTCAAGATAAGTGTGTTTGTGTTACTCAAGATAAGTGTGTTTGTGTTACTCAAGATAAGTGTTTGTGTTACTCAAGATAAGTGTGTTTGTGTTACTCAAGATAAGTGTGTTTGTGTTACTCAAGATAAGTGTTTGTGTTACTCAAGATAAGTGAGTTTGTGTTACTCAATATAAGTGTTTGTGTTACTCAAGATAAGTGTGTTTGTGTTACTCAAGATAAGTGTGTTTGTGTTACTCAAGATAAGTGTGTTTGTGTTACTCAAGATAAGTGAGTTTGTGTTACTCAAGATAAGCGTGTTTGTCATACAGGGACTGGTGTCGTGACGAGCGTTCCTTCTGATTCCCCTGACGACTACGCAGCTCTTCGAGACCTCAAGAAGAAGGAAGTGAGCTTAGATTCAATCTATTACAACACATTTGTATTTTAAATGTGAGGCACGAGGTATTTTTTTTTGTGCAGTTTATATTTTTCAACAAACTGTTCAAGCATCTGTGAAACATGAATGTTGAGTGGGACTACACATGTGATGCAGTTCAAGTAAGGAGAATGGCGTCTTACATCATTAATTCGAGATACCAAATTACAGTTGGATTGTTGTGAAAGTAGTGCCAACAGTTGATTTAAACATATTTATTCACAAGGAGTGAATGGGATTGGGGGACAAGTTCTTCCAACTTAGATTGCCCTCTCCCTTGTATTTGCAAAAAATTCACAATTCCAAATTCAATATATATGCATGCAGCACTATAGAGGAGACATGAGATGAGAGAGAGAGGGAGACAGACACAGAGAGAGAGATTGTTGAATGAACAGTTCTTTACACAAATCTTTTAGTTGTACATGCCAACAGTTTGGCAATTTGAGTGGGGAACATAAGAAATATACCGTACATGTTAGCGGGGTAAATAATAGGCCATGTCTCAGCCAATCAGAATCCGCCATTCATGTGATATTAAGCATGACAAGTGTTCAGTGAGAGACAGTTTTGAGTTATGGTGTTTGCTCTGTTTGTTTCAGCCATTCCGACAAAAGTATGGCATCAAGGATCACATGGTCCTACCCTTTGAACCAGTGAGTGTGGTTTTCAACAATCTATTAAGTTATACATATTCAAACGGGCACGGGTGGCCCAGTCATCTTAAGCTACAATTCACTGTGCAGAGTTGCATCCTTTGGCACGCCAGAAACCTATGATCGTGGGTTCGAATCCTGGTTCTCCCCGATTATGTTTCTAGTTTTCCAGAACCATACAAGTGCTTGTGGGTTTCATTAAAGTGGTAAACGTTCAAGATCTGCATCACAGAGAGCTTTCCTAACACGTGATATACCTGGAATAATGTTAATAGCGGTGTTAAACCTAACACACTCACTCACTCACTCACTATACATACTTCATCGTGGGGAAATATTCAGACAGTGTGGTACATGACTGGACAAGGACAGTGTAAAATGACCACAATCAGTCAAAGTTTCCATAAAGTAATGCACAACAGTCAACCTGTTATGTAGTGGAGGGCTATGATCACGTGTCTACCTTCTGTCCTTCACACGAAATTATGCAATTAATGGGTCTATGAATAGATCATGTAGATGGGGAACTAAACGTGATTCCCTTATGACATAGATGGGGAACTAAACGCGATTCCCTTATGACATATATTGGGAACTAAATGTGATTCTCTTATTATGACATATATGGGGAACTAAATGTGATTCTCTTATTATGACATATATGGGGAACTAAATGTGATTCTCTTACTATGACATATATGGGGAACTAAACATGATTCTCTTACTATGACATATATGGGGAACTAAACGTGATTCTTTTACCATGACATAGATGGGGAACTATACATGATTCTCTTATTATGACATATATGGGGAACTAAATGTGATTCTCTTTCTATGACATAGATGGAGAACTAAATGTGATTCTCTTATTATGACAGTTGGGGAACTAAACGTGATTCTCTTACTATGACATAGATGGAGAACTAAACGTGATTCTCTTTCTATGACATAGATGGGGAACTATACACGATTCTCTTATTATGACATAGATGGGGAACTAAATGTGATTCTCTTACTATGACATAGATGGGGAACTAAACGATGACATAGATGGAGAACTTAACGTGATTCTCTTACTATGACATAGATGGAGAACTAAACGTGTTTCTCTTACTATGACATAGATGGAGAACTAAACGTGATTCTCTTACTATGACATAGATGGGGAACTAAACGTGATTCTCTTACTATGACATATATGGAGAACTAAACGTGATTCTCTTACTAAGACATATATTGGAAACTAAACGTGATTCTCTTACTATGACATAGATGGGGAACTAAACGTGATTCTCTTTTTATGACATATATGGAGAACTAAACGTGATTCTCTTACTAAGACATATATTGGAAACTAAACGTGATTCTCTTACTATGACATGTGGGGAACTAAACGTGATTCTCTTATGGAGTAGATTAAAATAAGGAAACTAGGGTAGGTACATGGCCATGAATGTAGGAATGAAGCACTAACTATGGGAGCAAGAACACGCGTTATTTCTATGAATACCACAAATATTGGTCTACGACCATGAAAATCAAAATTGTCTTGCTCAATTGAAAACCCTACACTGACGACTGCAATACATCATGTCAGAATCCATTTTCCGCACATTCAACGAATTCCACGATCTGTTTTCCGCGAAAGCATGTGGTGTTTATATGTATTGTTCATGTTACATGAACTGAAACAAAGTGTTATGTGTTTATTACCACTCCTCAACTCATACAGTAATAAGAACTCTGACTCTTGCCTCCTCCTTCTCCTCCTCCCCAGGTTCCCATCATAGAAGTTCCCGAGTTCGGATCTCTGTGCGCGGTCACCGCCTGTGACATGTTCAAGATCCAGAGTCAGAACGACCGGGACAAACTCCAGGAGGCCAAGGAGAAAGTCTACCTGAAGGGCTTTAATGAGGGGGTCAGTTACTGTCATGTCTATCACCCAATCTCATTAAAATCAGATCTTAGTTCTGACTACCGCTAAACAAAGATCTAAGGACATCCCATTACGGATCACGTCAGAACGACCTTGCACGAACTTTGCATCACTTTGGTCCCACACAAAGCTGACACACCTTGATTACTGGAATACTGTTCAAAGTGGCGTTTACAATTCTCACTCACTCAAAAATGGTCAAGTTGCATAAAATGCATAGGATGCTTCCAGAGATAAGTCATGGATCTGTGCAATGGTTGTGATGGTTACTTTCATTGTCTATAACAGAAGAAGCGTAACATTTACCTTTTTTTATAATGGATAACAGAAATAGAAGATGACATAAAGGCCTGAACTTTTTGAACGAGGTGTTTTTACAAGTGGAAAAGATGCCTTTACCAGTGATATGCAGTAATAATTTCACTTTGTAACAATTCAAATCTAGGACTATCTGTACATATTCTTATTTTGAAAAGATTATGTCAAAAGAATATTAAGAACGTCAGTTCATTTTTCTGAATATGCAAACAACACTTCTTTAGTGTTAATTGCAATATATTTTCCAGCTTTTATTTCTATCCCTGTTTGAAATAATTTCATGTAGTGAAGCAATATTGAAGTTTCCTGTGTTATTCAAGGTCATGAAAGTTGGACAGTTCAAAGGTCAGAAGGTCCAGGATGTGAAGAAGAAGATACAAAAGGAAATGGTTGCCATGGTGAGTTTGGAGATAATTTGATGTAGTCCGACTAGGTTTGATACCTTTTGTTTGAATTTGGAACTAAACACTCTAGCATGAGGTTTCAAATGTATAAACAGTACAGTCTCTACCTCCGAAATGTCATTTTTGCACAATGTTGTCATGATAAGCATACATTTTTTCATCTGCAATCACAAACATATTCATATTGAATAATTTAAAGTGCAAGACTTTTAGAAAGTTGAAATTGAAAGATTTGAATATTTCCTGTTCCAGAAAGATGCTGTTATCTACATGGAACCAGAGAAGAAGGTGATGTCACGGTCTGCGGACGAGTGTGTTGTAGCACTCTGTGATCAGTGGTGAGTTGTGTGATCAGTGGTGAGTTGTGTGATCAGTGGTGAGTTGAAGCACTCTGTGATCAGTGGTGAGTTGTGTCACTCTGTGATCAGTGGTGAGTTGTGTCACTCTGTGATCAGTGGTGAGTTGTGTCACTCTGTGATCAGTGGTGAGTTGTGGCACTCTGTGATCAGTGGTGAGTTGTGTCACTCTGTGATCAGTGGTGAGTTGTGTTACTCTGTGATCAGTGGTGAGTTGTGGCACTCTGTGATCAGTGGTGAGTTGTGTCACTCTGTGATCAGTGGTGAGTTGTAGCACTCTGTGATCAGTGGTGAGTTGTGTCACTCTGTGATCAGTGGTGAGTTGTGGCACTCTGTGATCAGTGGTGAGTTGTGGCACTATGTGATCAGTGGTGAGTTGTGGCACTATGTGATCAGTGGTGAGTTGTGGCACCATGTGATCAGTGGTGAGTTGTGGCACTCTGGGATCAGTGGTGAGTTGTGGCACTCTGTAATCAGTGGTGAGTTGTGGCACTCTGTGATCAGTGGTGAGTTGTTTGATCAGTGGTGAGTTGTGACACTCTGTGATCAGTGGTATGTTGTGGCACTCTGTGGTCAGTGGTGAGTTGTGGCACTCTGTGATCAATGGTGAGTTGTGGCACTCTGTGGTCGGTGGTGAGTTGTGGCACTCTGTGATCAATGGTGAGTTGTGGCACTGTAGGATGGTGAGTTGTAGCATTCTGTGATCAGTGGTGAGTTATGGCACTCTATGATCAGTGGTGAGTTATGGCACTCTATGATCATTGGTGAGTTGTGTGATCAGTGGTGAGTTGTGTGATCAGTGGTGAGTTATGGCACTGTGTGATCAGTGGTGAGTTTAGGGTGATTCTAGTGAGTGTGTTGTTTCACTGTGTCATCAGTGGTATGTACACATGTTGAAGGGATGGTTTTTATATTCATTATATCTAGTGAGTGTGTTGTTTCACTGTGTAATCAGTGGTGAGTTGTAGTGCTCTGTGATCAGTGGTGAGTTGTAGTGCTCTGTGATTAGTGGTGAGTTGTGTGATCAGTGGTGAGTTGTGTGATCAGTGGTGAGTTGTGTGATCAGTGGTGAGTTGTAGTGCTCTGTGATCAGTGGTGAGTTGTGTGATCAGTGGTGAGTTGTGTGATCAGTGGTGAGTTGTGTGATCAGTGGTGAGTTATGGCACTGTGTGATCAGCGGTGAGTTTAGGGTGATTCTAGTGAGTGTGTTGTTTCACTGTGTCATCAGTGGTCTGTACACATGTTGAAGGGATGGTTTTTATATTCAATATGTTATTGGAATGGTATAATTCAAGAATTACCACATTTCAAACTTTGTCCCTGATTGAAAGTATGTTGGACATTTGTAGGTATCTGGATTATGGCGAGCCTAAATGGAGGGCACAAGCTGATGAATGCCTGGCTTCAATGGAGACATTCCACGATGAGGTTCGCAAGAATTTTATGTCTACACTAGACTGGCTGCATGAGCATGCCTTTTCAAGGTCATATGGTTTAGGTGAGTCATGTTCGGTCAATTCATGTCAGAGTAACTAATGCTTGACCTCTAAAAAATATATAATTTTGACAGATACAAATAACTGTTTAAATTGAAAAGGAGCCTCAGTGAGGTGTGAAATTCAGAACATGAACCTGAGGAAAATCTAGACTTGCTTTATTTTGGGCTTTTGGAATACAGAAAAAAACTGGACATATAATCCAATGTCTAGCAGAACTGGAAATACAATTTTATTGGTAAATTATCACCTAGTGATGTTTTTTCTTAAGTTTCACAATTTTATTGGCATATTTATTATCACATGTTCATTCACCTGAAATCGCTGAAGGGATACAAGTAGATTTTTTGCTGCACATAATACTTGATTAATCTTTTTCTGCAATATGAATCATAAACAACTGCTATATTCTAATCTAATTTCAAACTCTGATATACAATGTGCAAGGCAAGGCATGGTGTAGATCATGTGAGGTAGCCGAGCATGTACTGTTGTGTTGGTCATGCTACAACTCTACCTTGGTGAAAGCTGACCGTCTATAATGCTCATCAATTATTTGGATCCCAAATGTAGTGTTGTAGGGGGTTGGGGGGCACTGTATCACAAAAACTTTCATGCTTAATGCTCTGACTGTGAGTGATAAGCACTGTTACGTCTCCAGGCTCCCGGATCCCATGGGACCAGGACTACCTGGTTGAGAGTTTGTCTGATTCAACAATCTACATGGCCTACTACACCGTGGCTCACCTCCTGCAGGCTGGAGTCTTCGATGGAAGCGTTATGGGGCCAGCCAACATTAGGTGAGGTTCTGAACTAGCCAGGTCCCCTGGGTGGGCGATGGAAGTGTTGTCTGGCGAGCCAGTATTAGGTGAGGCTCATTACTAGCCATGTCCCTAGGGTGGTGGTGGATGGAGGTGGTGGATGGAGGTGTTCTGGGCCAGCCAACATTAGGTGAGGTTCTGGACTAGCCAGGTCCCTAGGGTGGTGGTGGATGGAGGTGGAGGATGGAGGTGTTCTGGGCCAGCCAACATTAGGTGAGATTCTGAACTAGCCAGGTCCCAAGGGTGGGCGATGGAAGTGTTATTGGGCCAGCCAACATTAGGTGAGGCTCAGTACTAGCCAGGTTCCCAGGGTGGTGGTGGATGGAGATGTTCCGGGCCAGCCAACATTAGGTGAGGCTCAGTACTAGCCAGGTCCCCAGGGTGGTGGTGGATGGAGGTGTTCCGGGCCTGCCAACATTAGGGGAGGCTCAGTACTAGCCAGGTCCCCAGGGTGGTGGTGGATGGAGGTGTTCCGGGCCTGCCAACATTAGGGGAGGCTCAGTACTAGCCAGGTCCCCAGGGTGGTGGTGGATGGAGGTGTTCCGGGCCTGCCAACATTAGGGGAGGCTCAGTACTAGCCAGGTCCCCAGGGTGGTGGTGGATGGAGGTGTTCTGGGCCTGCCAACATTAGGTGAGGCTCAGTACTAGCCAGGTCCCCAGGGTTGTGGTGGATGGAGGTGTTCCGGGCCAGCCAACATTAGGTGAGGCTCAGTACTAGCCAGGTCCCCAGGGTGGTGGTGGATGGAGGTGTTCCGGGCCTGCCAACATTAGGGGAGGCTCAGTACTAGCCAGTTTAGGTGGTGGTGGATGGAGGTGTTCCGGGCCTGCCAACATTAGGGGAGGCTCAGTACTAGCCAGTTTAGGTGGTGATGGATGGAGGTGTTCCGGGCCTGCCAACATTAGGGGAGGCTCAGTACTAGCCAGGTCCCCAGGGTGGTGGTGGATGGAGGTGTTCCGGGCCAGCCAACATTAGGGGAGGCTCAGTACTAGCCAGGTCCCCAGGGTGGTGGTGGATGGAGGTGTTCCGGGCCAGCCAACATTAGGGGAGGCTCAGTACTAGCCAGGTCCCCAGGGTGGTGGTGGATGGAGGTGTTCCGGGCCAGCCAACATTAGGGGAGGCTCAGTACTAGCCAGGTTCCCAGGGTGGTGGTTGATGGAGGTGTTCTGGGCCAATGAACATTAGGTGAGGCTCAGTACTAGCCAGGTTCCCAGGGTGGTGGTGGATGGAGGTGTTCCGGGCCAGTCAACATTAGGGGAGGCTCAGTACTAGCCAGGTTCCCAGGGTGGTGGTTGATGGAGGTGTTCTGGGCCAGTCAACATTAGGGGAGGCTCAGTACTAGCCAGGTCCCCAGGGATTATGGTGGATGGAGGTGTTCCGGGCCAGCCAACATTAGGGGAGGCTCAGTACTAGCCAGGTCCCCAGGGTGGTGGTGGATGGAGGTGTTCTGGGCCAGTCAACATTAGGGGAGGCTCAGTACTAGCCAGGTCCCCAGGGTGGTGGTGGATGGAGGTGTTCCGGGCCAGTCAACATTAGGGGAGGATCAGTACTAGCCAGGTCCCCAGGGTGGTGGTGGATGGAGGTGTTCTGGGCCAGCCAACATCAAGTGAAGTCCATAACTACACAGGTGCTCTGGGAGGGGTGGTGGGTCTCTCTAAGTGCTGTGAAGGTAGCTTCTCTGTGGAAGTTGTGAAGTCAGTGTTTTTAATTATTACGCTTGGTCATTCATTTTTTCAACAGCTGCTAATTAGTGGGTGACTGTTTTTCTACGCTAGGGCTGAACAGCTGATTCCAGAGGTGTGGGACTATATCTTCTTCAAGGAAATGCCATTCCCACAGAAGGCTGGAATATCCAGGGCCATGCTGGACAAGATGAAAAATGAGTTCAACTATTGGTACCCTGTAGATGTCCGGATGTCAGGCAAAGATCTAATCCCCAACCATCTGACCTACTTCATCTACTGCCATTGTGCCATGTGGCCTGATGACAAGTGAGTAGCTGTGTCATGTGGCCTGATGACAAGTGTTTAGCTGTGTCATGTGGCCTGATGACAAGTGTTTAGCTGTGTCATGTGGCCTAATGACAAGTAAGTAGCTGTGTCATTTGGCCTGATGACAAGTGTTTAGCTGTGTCATTTGGCCTGATGACAAGTGTTTAGCTGTGTCATGTGGCCTGATGACAAGTAAGTAGCTGTGTCATTTGGCCTGATGACAAGTGTTTAGCTGTGTCATGTGGCCTGATGACAAGTAAGTAGAAAGGATGCACGGGAATCACGCATGCACGAATACAGTGTTAGTGATGGGCGTCTCAACGTGCGTGATTCCTGTGCACCCTTCCGAGTTGAGTTGATTGGTTCAACTGTGTCGCAGATGGCTGTTTAAATGAATGCTCGTTCCACCTGTGACGAACAGGTGTGGTTGTTGATGAAATATAGTGATAGCTAAATAGACAGATTTTTTATTCATGCACCGATTGTCTTTAAATGTAATATCCAGTTATGTATGACTGTTTAATAATCTCATACCAACTTTGACTGGAGTAGATCCGATATTTTTTCAGATATTGTAGTAAAACGTCGGTACCTTAAATTACCTTCCAGACTATAAACGATATGCTGTGGACCACATATTCATCATTTAATTTTTCCCAACAACAGACAATGTTCCTATGTTGCAGATCTAAATGGCCCAAGGGAGTGAGAGCTAATGGCCACATCCTGCTAAATTCTGAAAAGGTAAATCTGTGAAGAAACAAGTTTGTTTGTTGTTTAACGCCGCACTCAGCAATATTCCAGCTATATGATAGCGGTCTGTAAAATAATCGAGTCTGGATAGAACAATCCACAGGGCCCAGTTGGTGATGAAGTCAGTATAGTGTAAAACTCAGATCATTACGTTAGGGTGAGTGCTTAAGAGGAGGCCTGGTGGTTTAACATTGTAGCTTTTGATATAATTTCTCTGTAATTTCATTCTTCGTAATCTAATTATAATCAGGTCTTATACTCCGATACAATACCTCTCTGCAATAAGTTCCCAGGACTCCTCAAGTCCATTGTGGGGGCACGGGTGGCCCAGTCGTCTGAGGCGCCGCGATTCTCTGTGCAGAGTTGCGTCCCTTGGGCACGCCAGAAACCTATGATTGTGGGTTCAAATCCCGGTTCACCCCGATTATGTTTCAAGGTTTGTCAGCACCATACCCGTGCTCGTGGGTTTCACCGAAGTGGTAAACGTCTGACACCTGCAACACTTCTGGCTTTCCTCCAACATTAAGCTGACACCCTGCGATATAACTGGAATACTGTTAAAAGCGGTGTTAAGCCCAACTCACTCACTCAAGTCCATTGTGTGTATCGTTAGTTGAGCTTTCTTTCTAATCAGCCAATCATCATAAAGGCTTCTAAATTATCAAGTGAAGCATCCATCATATCTCATTTCTGTATCTCCAGAACTAACTTAAACAACTCATTCTGACAGTAGAATTGACATCATATTGTTGTGGATATTTCATACATCCTGTTGTTTTCTGAGTGCTGTGGCATCGTAGCCAAAAAAGTACCTTCAAAGGAATATTTGTGTCCTGCGTAGGTTTTCATTTTGTACAAATTGAAATTTTCTTGGTAAGAATAAGAAGCAGAATGATTTTAGAAAGCAGCCTTCTGTCAGATTGGGTGGTCAATTTCTGTTAGTGTTCCCCTGACCCGACCATCTATGAAGGTATCTGCAGAGAGGGATAATATTGAAGTACCACGTCCGTCTTTAATGAAGGAGATAGCTATTTCCGTATGACCATGATGGCTGTTGTGATGTCTTCAGCCTCTAGTAAACAATATCATGAGTCCTTAGGTTTTTAATGCATGGTTGTTCAGGAACAGGGGCACGGGTCGCCCAGTCACCTGAGGAGCCGCAATCTCATAAAAATCAGACCTCAGTTCTCACTACCGCTAAACCAAGATCTGAGGACATCCCATTAGGGGTCAAGTCAAACGACCTCTCATCCGACCAATCAGAGCTTTGCTTACCAGATTATGAAAGTGACAGTCTGAATGTGATTTCTTATCGTGCAACCTCGAAAATTTTAACACGGGGTATTCTGAACGATAGTCACGGGTTTAACGACTGAATCCATACAATTTAGACCATCTATTAGCCATTCCAGAATATTCTTTTGTTAAAATTTTTAATTGAGAATTTGTCAAATATGTTTCGAAGCATTGTCACCAATTTGAAATTAGTGCTGTAAATCACGAGAAAGCTGCCTTCTGATTGGCTAATGTCAACTTCATTGGTCGGTCAAAGTTCGTGCAAGACGGTCTGACGTGCCCTCAGATCAATGTTTTGCGGTAGCAAGAACTAAGACCTGATTTTAATGAGATTGAAGGAGCTGCAATTCACTGTGCAAAGTTGCATCCCTTGGACCTGCCGGAAACCTATGATCGTTGGTTCGAATCCCGGTTCACCTGATTATATTTCGAGATTTGTCAGGACCATACCAAGTGGTAAAGTGGTAAAAGTGGTGTTTAAGACTGCATCAAGCTGACATGCAGTATTATAACTGGAACACTGTTGAAAGTGGCGGTAAACCCATCTCTCTCAATCACTGTTCAGTAACAATGTTCAGGGAAACAATGTTTCATATTGACCAATGTCGTTGCAGATGTCCAAGTCCACGGGGAACTTCATGAGCCTTGACGATGCACTGGCCAAGTTCTCAGCTGATGGTATGTTGTGAGTTGTTGCATCGCTAGGGTTGCCAGGATCCTATAATTCTGAGTTTGAATCCCAGATTTAATCCTGATGGGGCTTGGTTGATCAGCACCATTCAGATTCTAGTGGGCTTCATCAAAGTGGAAACCTTGCCTGGCAGACTGGCACTGGTCCAAATCTGTGTTTGCAGCAGGCTGGTTCGTGATCAACTACAAGGGAGACAACTTTCCTAAGGGACAAGACCGCCTCCGTGGTCTAGTGGTAGAGCGTCCGCCCGGAGAGCGGAAGGTCCGGGGTTCAATCCCCGGGCGCGTCATACCAAAAGACGTTAAAAGATGGTACTTGTTACCCTGTCTGGCGTTCGGCATTAAGGGGCTAAAACAAGGACTGGTCGGCTCATAGTCAGTATACTGTGTCTGAGTGGGGTATTCATGTTAACTGCGGCATGGTATCTCAGTGAGCTAGCACTATAAATCGGCATCAGTCCGGTCTAGTACAAGCAGCCACACAAACACACACACACACGTACATGAATGTCGCTATATAAGTGCAATAATCTTGGACGTGACGTTAAACCCAATTTCACCTCACCTCCTAAGGGACAGGTGGGAGTGGGTCAAAGGTTTTGGATGGACTAATGTAAAGAAAATAATATTATAAAATGTCCATTTTTTCATAACCCTACCCAAATATGTGTATCGTTTATTAAATCCCTACCCCAGGGACTGTCATATCTATGGATGGCCCGCCTCTGGTTCCCCTCCCCCCACCTACATTAAATGACCGGTCCCTAAACTTTCAGAAATTGGCTTTGCTATAGATCTTGAAGATGACCCTATGCCTTCTACACCATTTTAAATTGGCCCTGTGTTATATAGTTGCAATGTTTGGAGTCAAGTTGGTTTTTTCCACAAGGAAATTTTATTTCTTGATGTTATGAATGTTATTGTGTGCAAGAGTCAGTGCTTTATGACTGTTCTGTCCAGGCACAAGACTGTCGCTAGCAGATGCTGGAGATTCTGTAGAAGATGCCAACTTCGTGGAGAAAATGGCAGACGCTGGCGTCCTGCGTCTGTACACCCTCCTGGAGTGGGTGAAGGAGATTCTAGCCAATCAGGACACACTGAGGAAAGGCCCACCGAGTGCCTATACTTTCAACGACAAAGTATTTATCAGGTATTTGGGGGGAGGGTTTAAGCACATTCTCCTTTGTAGCAAGCATGTAAACATAATGACTATGTAGACATCAAATGTCCTTGTAGTTTAAATCAAAGACACATTCCTATTGTGTTTCATGTCATGTACTTCATAGATATTACAGATAATTCCAACGGACTGTTTGGTGACATGACGCATTATTACTTAAGGTGATTCTTAAGTAAGCTTTCAAAGAGTCAAGAGAAATTCCCTGATCTGGTTTTCATGCAAGGGAATGAACTTACAATAAAAATCCAGTTTCCACCCTTGCCGAACTAGGCTGGAATTTTGTGGCTCAATCGTAGTGCCACCAGTGGTGATTATGAGTTTGTCCCTTCTATGGCCCTCCAAATGACCAATCAGGTTCCACCTCGCATATCTTTGCATTTGCTTCTAACAAATTAGCAGCATGCAGGAAAGACAATCAGATCTGGTTAAATGAAGAAACATTTTAGATTCTCTCGATGACCGTTAATGGTACATATGCTTTGCAAATTCTGCAAGGGATCAAAATCTGCATGGCAGTGACCGTGTTGTTTATGAACAGGATGTTGATTTTGTTACATGATTTTGATTGGACTATGCATAGAATTGTTTGGCCAGTCAAAATACAACTCCAAAATTCCAGCCTAGTAAACTATAAACCTGACCTTTGAAGTCTCCCTTTTGTATACTCCCTTGCCTCAAGAAGATGGTTTTCATGCCACATCTTTCCTTCTTCAGTGAAATGAACAAGGCCATAGCTGAGACGAAAGCTAACTATGATGCCTACCTGTTCAAAGATGCTCTCAGGACAGGCTTCTTTGAGATCCAGGTAAACTTGTGTTAAATTGTTGTGTCTTTTGCTGCTACATAGTGTTTAAGTAGCATTAGGCTCAGCTTAACATCTTAATATCTGCTTAACACTGCTTGAGGAGAGATTACCTACTGCGTGGTGGTTGTACATGTGTTGTAGTAGAGTGAGTGAGTTGGGTTTAATGCCACTTTTAACAGTATTCCAGTTATATCACGGCGTGTCAGCTTAATGTGGGAGGAAAGCCCTAAGTGATGCAGGTCTCAGATGTTTACCACTTCGGTCAAACCCACGAGCACGGGTATGGTGCTGACAAACCTAGAAACATAATCGAGGCGAACCGAGATTGGAACCCACAATCAAAGGTTTCTGGCATGCCCAAGGGATGCAACTCTGCACAGAGAATCGTGGCACCTCAGACGACTGGGCCATCGGTGCCCCCTGTTGTAGTAGATAATATAAGAGCTTCACGATAAGTCGTAATGAGCAACAAAGAACGAGGCATGGTTTATTTCACGATAAAACAGAACAATGTCATGACGTCATTTCTGGAAATTCAAACATACACTCGCAATGTGATAATGTCATATATTTGACGACGTTATATTTGAGAAGGAAGTGTCTAGTAAGTTGTAGCTGGGGAACGCAGATCATTGCAGTGGCCGAACAATCCCATCCAAAAGTAAGAGAGAATTGACAATCGGTATTATGAGAAAAGATTGACTTGACTAACATTGCCGAGGTCGGATTCTATTCAGGGAGTCATCATTATTAAAATTAAGGTGACTTTTTTTTAAGGCTTTCACACTTTATCAACATCCTTAAGGAGGCTGTACATAATGTGGATATCTTATAAATATCAACTACTCGTGGTCGTTGTTTATCGTACAATAAAACACTGCAGGGAGAATTCTGCAGTGTTTTATTGTACAATAAACAATGACAATGAGTTGTATATTTTTTATATGAAATATCAACATAATGCAAGTATAGGGATCAATGTCACTGAACCAACAAGGCTAAATCTGCATGTTTGTCTTTCTTGATTTCTATGTAACCTGGAATTTGTCTAAACTGGAATTGTGTGGTAACAAAAGTTTATTATGGTTTAGATTGCCATCTGGATTAGATGATTGATGAATAGTTTAACATTCAAGCATGTAAGTTTAGTCTCGTATTAGCAGTGTCCAGTTTTGTCAGATTCCACTGTATGGGTGGTTGAGTGAAAATATAATGTAATGAAAGAGACTCTGTAGATTGCTAAGTCCAAGAGTTACTTCCCTTTCTATGTCAATCTGGGGCATGGCTGGCCCAGTCATCTGAGGCGCCTCAGTTCCCTGTGCAGAGTTCCGTCCCTTGGGCACACCAGAAACCTATGCTCGAGGGTTCGAATCCCAGTTCAACCAGATTATGTTTCTAGGTTTGTCGGCACCATACTTGTGTTCATGGATTTCACCTTAATGGTTAATGTCTGAGACCCGCATCACTTCGGGCTTCCCTCCGACATCAAGCTGACACGCCGTGATATGACTGGAATACTTTTCAAAGCGGTGTTGAAGCCAACTCACTCACTCCATGGCAATCTAATTGGAGTTTCTTTTCATGATTTGTTAACATGCTCAGAAATCATATTAGTCGACATATTTGCAAACCAAGTAGAAGAATCAATTCCCCATGGGGATTTGGGGGGTAGGTAGGTCCCTAGAACATTGTAAATGAATTGAGTAGTCAACATAGATTAGCAGGCTAATTTTGTTTAGTGAAAAAAATGAGTTTGCAAACAAGCAACAGAGCTACAGATAAGCTGCGAATTTGCGTAAAATACCCCCCAAAATATTCAAAACCCAATTACTTTATATTAACTTGGGTACAGAAACGTATACATTAAATGAAAACCTCAAATGTCTAAAAACAGCATGCGAAAATACCCATAGATGCTTTTTCAGCATGCGTAGAACAGATCTAATTTCCGAAACACAATCACAAGCTAATTTAAGTCAAGCCTTTAGTTAGAACCCTTGCATACATCTAAAATATTATTAATTTTTTTTTGAAATCTCAAAATGTTAGCTCATTTGGGGAAAAACCCAATAGAGTGATTGGTTACCCAATGAAAATTGTGATAATAGAAACCTTCGAGTAAAAACTCAATTGCTAAAATGTATATTTTGAAAAAAATAATTAATTTGAAACATGGGCATGAAATAATAGTCGTGTTGTTATTATTACATGCCCATGTTTCAAATTAAAATTATTGTTTCTAAAAATACATTGACAAGTTCCTGTCATGAATATAAATCTCCAAGTTGATTGCTTGTTTGCAAACACATTATTTCACTAATAATAATAATAATAATATTATTATTATTATTTTTTGTCTTCATATTCACTGTCATATTCATTCAGGCAGTCCGTGACAAGTACCGGGAGGTGGAGATGGAGGGGATGCACCGTGACCTAGTGCTGCGCTTCATCGAGGTGCAGGTGCTCATGCTGTCCCCCATCTGCCCCCATCTCAGTGAACACATCTGGGGGCTGCTGGGCAAGGTCAGTACCAGGGGTGCAACAGGAGGGTCGGTCATTCTGTTACATATATGTAGGTCCTGCTAGAGCCTTGGTCACACAGTATGTGGTATGGTGGCAGTCTGTCTATTTATTTTAAAATACCTGAATTCTGCCTGATATCTCATCTGACTGGAGATTTGGGGTAGGAATTTCTCCACAGGAAGCTATGCTTGGTGATGTAATGCACCAGAAGGTCAGGTGACTTGGTTCATTGCATAGGGAGTTCATGGCATGCCATGTATCGAGAGTCCTTTGACAACAAGGAAAGTCTTGCAACAAGGAAAGCACAGTTTTATTTTGTGGACCAACAACAAACAAATAAACAGAAGCATATTTCTTTTATTCGCTTCCACAGGGTGTCAAAGCAACCAGTGCATGATTATCCCCCGCCGCGCGAAAGCGCGAAGCGGGGGATATAGTATTCACGACCGTCCATCCGTACGTCCCACCTGTTTGTTGCCGCGATATCTGAAGAACTAAACACTGGATTGTCTTCATATTTGGAACTATGGTGTATATACAGACTCCGCAGACACCAGTCGGTTTTGGTGACCTTGATCCCATTTTCAAGGTCACAGCAGACAAATCTGCTTTTAGAGTTGGAAAACGGTGTTGCCGCGATATCTGAAGAACTAAACACTGGATTGTCTTCATATTTGGAACTATGGTGTATATACAGACTCCGCAGACACCAGTCGGTTTTGGTGACCTTGATCCCATTTTCAAGGTCACAGCAGACAAATCTGCTTTTAGAGTTGGAAAACGGTGTTGCCGCGATATCTCAAGAACTAATCACTGGATAGTCTTCATATTTGGAACTATAGTGTATATACAGACTCCGCAGACACCAGTCGGTTTTGGTGACCTTGATCCCATTTTCAAGGTCACAGCAGGCAAATCTGCTTTTAGAGTTGGAAAACGGTGTTGCCACAATATCTCAAGAACTAAACCTCTCGATTGTCTTCATATTTGGAGTATATACAGACACCGCAGACACCAGTCGGTTTTGGTGACCTTGACCCCATTTTCAAGGTCACAGCAGGCAAATCTGCTTTTGGAGTTAGAAAACGGTGTTGCCGCGATATCTCAAGAACTAATCGCTGGATTGTCTTCATATTTGGAACTATAGTGTATATACAGACACCGCATACACCTGTCAGATTTGGTGACCTTGACCCAATTTTCAAGGTCACAGCAGGCAAATCTGTTTTTGGAGTTTGAAAACGGTGTTGCCACAATATCTCAAGAACTAATCGCTGGATTGTCTTCATATTTGGTACTATGGTGTATATGGCGGGGGATATTTCGTCACTCTGTGACAAATACTTGTTAAATATATGATCTCACATCCTGTTTCGTTATTTACACATTGGTTTCAGTGTCAATAGACGAATCAGGAAAGTTCACAAACCTGACACTAGGCTCATCACCTTGCTTACATGACACTGAGTGGTCCAGACATAAGCCAGCCAGTCTGGGCCTAGATTTTCGAAACGATCTTAGCCCTAAAATTATCGTAAAGTTATCGTAAGGAAATCATAAGCTATCGTAGCCTATTTTCGAAACTATTGTAGCCCTAGGATATCTTAAGTTTGTTGTAAATCTAAGATAGCCCTATACCTGTCGTAGGTTTATTTTATCTTCATCCAAGATGGCGGCATATTTTGCTCTGGACATTTTTCATGATGAAGATGACAATGATTGGATGACAAGACCGAGTATATTCTGAGACAGATCTCGTCGCCTCGATACGCTTGACAACTTTGAGCTATTCTCCCGCTACAGATAGGTGTCGTAGCTCTGAGCGATCTGCGACGGGTTTACGATTGTTTCGAAAATCTATCTTATCTTAGCCTTAAGATATCTTATCTTTGAACGTAAGTAGTTAAGATTTATCTTAGCTAAGATCGTTTCGAAAATCTAGGCCCTGTACTGTTAGATAAACACACGACTCCAACCTTCCTTGTCAACTACATGCATTTATTGTTTCACAATCACTGACTGACACCGAGTTATTACATCAAGATGCTTCCTGCGTATTAATAATTACTCATGTAAAGTTTACTTTGATCTTTTGGTAATTTGGCAAAACTTTCCAGATTATCACCAATAACAGACTTAATTTAGGTCGTCTGATATATGTGTAATATACCATACAAAAAGTGGACCGTCTCCGTGGTCTAGTGGTAGAGCGCCCTCCCGGCCGCGTCATACCAAAAGACATTCAAAGATGGCACTTATTACCCTGTCTGGCGCTCGGCATTAAGGGGCTTAAACAAGGACTGGTCGGCTCGGAGTCAGTATACTGTGTCTGAGTGGGGTATCCATGTTAAACTGCGGCATGGTATCTCAGTGAGCTAGCACTATAAATCGGCATCAGTCCGGACCAGTACAAGCAGCCACACATTCACATACATGCACGTCGCTATATAAGTGCAATAATCTTGGACGTGATGTTAAACCCCATTTCACCTCATCAACTACAAAAAGTGAATAAGGTCCCATTGTATGAGAAGTTATGCATTGCTTACATCAAAAGTAAATGAGAGTAGCATCACAGTATTACTGTATGACATCAATGGAGTATCGCTGCACGTTAGAAATCGATACTTTTTTAAAAATTTCCTAATTAGTTAAATTGTGCACACTATCATTGATATGATGATTTCTTATACATGGACGGTTTTTTTATATGTTAAAATACTATCAATTGCACACTTATGCAAAACTGTTAGTGCAGTTAACGTTTGCCACATATGCCTTCAAAGTGTGAATTTGGAGTTGTAGTTTACATCTTCCCGAGGCAAACATGTCCACTAGCTTATATCAAAGCCGAGTTGCTACCCTTGCCACATCAAGGCCACTTTTCTTGGCTCAACCCTGGCGCCACCTCGCGTAGATCACGAGTTGTGCCCCTTGTAATGAAAACGTGATATCCAATCAGATCGCTGTTCTTGTCTTGTGTGGTTTCATAATGTTGGTGACTAGTCGATCAGATTACGAAAACATTGGCGATTTCATCCCATAAAACAAAGATATGCAGTCCCTGAGATCAAAATTCTAGTAGACGCTCTTGCCTCGAGCAGATGATTAGAATGCAGACTAAACCCCCTTCTTTCTTTATATGGACAAATCGGCTCCGGGATGTGAATGGATCAATCCCCGGCCGCATCATACCAAAAGACATTAAAAGATGGTACTTGCTGTAACTCTGTCTGGCGCTCGGCATTAAGGGGCTAAAACAAGGACTGGTCGGCTCGGAGTCATTCTACTGTGTCTGAGTGGGGTATTCATGTTCAACTGTGGCATGGTATCTCAGTGGCTAGCACTATAAAGTGGGCATAAGTCCAGACTAGTACAAACACGCATGCATATTGCTAGATTTTAGAAATACATTAATTAGGAAAAGTTCAATGTTAAATACAGACAAGCAAACATTTTTCACTCACTCACTGTGTGTTGTGTTTCCCAGCCTGACAGCATCATGAAGGCTGCATGGCCAGCTGGGGGACCGATTGATGAGAAGCTGGTCCAGGCGTCCGAGTACATCACTGATGCTGCCCACGAGTTCCGCATCCGTCTCAAGGCATACTCCGCTGCAGGCAAGGGGAAGGTAGGTGCTGAAAGGCTGTAGATAACCTGTACTAGACAGCTTATTTCATAAATCTGACAGGATAGTATGTTTATGGGGGCTGGGACGAGTCCAAATTTACTGCCAGGGTACATGACCCTACTATTGGCCGACCCTACCCGCATACCCACTGTAGCGTCAAGCGTTGGGTACAAAATGTGCGATTAGGAGTTGTTTTACTGGACTCATGGCTGCAGATAAGCAGCGATTTTGCGTAAAATATTTAAAACCCAATTACTTTCAGTTAACTTTCGTACAGAAACACGTGCATTAAATGAAAACTCAAATGTATAAAAACAGCTCACGTAAATTCCCAATGAAGCTTTTTGATCATGCAAACAAAGGAGCTAATTTCCAAAACACAATTACCAGCTAATTTACTTTCTGAATATTAATTTGGAACAGTTATTTACATCTAAAACATTATTTCATACTTTTTTTAAATCTTAAAATGTTCACTAATTTTGGGAAAAACCCAAATGAGTGATGAATAGATGAGTGAAAATATATTGGTTTCCCTCATGAAAAATGTAATAACCCAATAACATTGAAACCCTAGAGGAAAAAACTCAATTGTTCAAAAAGTTATCTGGAGCTCTGGGACTACTGGCAAAAAGTATTTAGGTTCATCTATAAAACGATCTGGTCATGCATACGCTGAAGTTGACTGAAGCTGTAGCTTTATATGTTTTGAGTAAAGTCAGAAGGAATAAGCATCTTGTCAGAAACATGAGTGACTTGTAGTGTAACCATGGAGTTGTAGTATTGAAATTTTTCACATTAAACGATATATCACATGACTATCCATGTGTCTGGGTAGTCATGTGAGTACCCGGGTCCTACTTAGTACCCACCTGACCCGAGCACCCGAGATACCCGTCCCAGCCCTCATGTTTATGTCAACTAACAAATTTCACCAGCTACTGCTCACTTCCAGAAAGCTCCACCGGCTCCCAGTCAGGCCACCGTGTGGATAGCGAAGACGTTCCCGCCATGGCAGAGTGCCGTCCTCACCAAGCTGAAAGAACTGCACAAGGTGAGGATACGACTCTTTTCCCTTGCATGATCAATTGTATCAGTTGATGTGTACTCACACCAAGATGGTATACTTTCAGCCGGAGACAGGTCTGCCTGAAAACAAGGTGATCGCCACGGAACTTAAGGACAGGCCCGAGCTGAAGAAATACATGAAAAAACTAATGCCTTTTGTGCAACTAGTGAAGGTAAGCTGACATGGTATTTATTTACAGGTAACCTTACTTGATATAGCTTGAACATTGACACCATCACAAATCAGATTGATACAGACACCATAGCATCCCATTTTGATATGAAAACACCCTGACATGGTATATCATACTGATGTATAGCCTCCCTGAGATGGTATATCATACTGATGTAAAGACACCCTGACATGGTATATCATACTGATGTATGGACACCTTGACATGGTATATCATACTGATGTATGGACACCTTGACATGGTATATCATACTGATGTATAGCCACCCTGACATGGTATATCATACTGATGTATAGACACCTTGACATGGTATAGCATACTGATGTATAGACACCTTGACATGGTATATCATACTGATGTATGGACACCCTGACATGGTATATCATACTGATGTATAGCCACCCTGACATGGTATATCATACTGATGTATAGCCACCTTGACATGGTATATCATACTGATGTATAGCCACCTTGACATGGTATATCATACTGATATATAGACACCTTGACATGGTATATCATACTGATGTATAGCCACCCTTACATGGTATATCATACTGATGTAAAGCCACCCTGACATGGTATATCATACTGATGTATAGACACCTTGACATGGTATATCATACTGATATATAGACACCTTGACATGGTATATCATACAGATGTATAGCCACCTTGACATGGTATATCATACTGATGTATAGACACCTTGACATGGTATATCATACTGATGTAAAGACACCTTGACATGGTATAGCATACTGATGTATAGACACCTTGACATGGTATATCATACTGATGTATGGACACCCTGACATGGTATATCATACTGATGTATAGCCACCCTGACATGGTATATCATACTGATGTATAGCCACCTTGACATGGTATATCATACTGATGTATAGCCACCTTGACATGGTATATCATACTGATATATAGACACCTTGACATGGTATATCATACTGATGTATAGCCACCCTTACATGGTATATCATACTGATGTAAAGCCACCCTGACATGGTATATCATACTGATGTATAGACACCTTGACATGGTATATCATACTGATATATAGACACCTTGACATGGTATATCATACAGATGTATAGACACCTTGACATGGTATATCATACTGATGTATAGACACCTTGACATGGTATATCATACTGATGTAAAGACACACTGACATGGTATATCATACTGATGTATAGACACCTTGACATGGTATATCATACTGATATATAGACACCTTGACATGGTATATCATACTGATGTATAGACACCTTGACATGGTATATCATACTGATATATAGACACCTTGACATGGTATATCATACTGATATATAGACACCTTGACATGGTATATCATACTGATGTATTGCCACCCTGACATGGTATATCATACTGATGTATAGCCACCCTGACATGGTATATCATACTGATGTATAGCCACCTTGACATGGTATATCATACTGATGTATAGACACCTTGACATGGTATATCATACTGATGTATGGACACCCTGACATGGTATATCATACAGACCATGAGACCAAGTTTATCATATTGGTTTATCGCATCAAAACATGATCCATTTTTTTAATAATAACGATGTTAGTTTTGCTTGCTTTGTTCAGTATATTCAGCATTGATAGACACAATATCATTTGGTTTTCATGAGATTATTATTTCTGAATCTGTTTGACAGGAAAATTTTGCCAAACAAGGCATGAAAGCTCTGGCCCTGACCATGGACTATGATGAGACAGAAATACTGAAGACAAGTCTGAAGTACTTAACATATACACTGGAGGTGAGTGATGTTACGTATTTGACGTAATAAGCGCCCCGCTCTAATAAGCGCTCGCGGCGATTCTGTTTCAATTTTGATAAATTTAAGGAACCATGGTGCAACCTAGTTTTGTCTTGTGTAACTAGGTTTTTATGTCAACATGCATCTGGTGAATGATAAATCAAGTTCCTTAAATCGAGCCCTGTTTAGTATGATCACTTGCCCCAAGCTAAAACTAAAATACACTGAACATATATTCAAAATATATTATCTGGCTTGTAGACGAATATATTTGAAGCTACTTGATACGCAGTCATACATATTTATGGGACCGGTGCAGATTCGGGATAGAATACATCTTCAGCAACCCATGCTTGCCGTAAAAGGTGACTATGCTTGTCGTAAGAGGCACCTAATGGGATCGGGTAGACAAGCTCGCCGACTTGGTTGATCCATGTCATTGTATACCAATTGCATGGATCGATGCTCATGATGTCAATCACTGGATTGTCTTGTTCAGACATGATTATTTACAGACCGCTGTCATGTAGGTGGAATATTGCTGAGTGCGGCGTTAAACAACAAACGATTTGTAGAAACTAATCCATGGCTGTAACAATTGAAATTTAAGATGTCATATGTCATTGTTTGGGCTATTTGTATCTTTCCATGGTACATGTTACTGATTCTCATTACATGTCAAGTGTATATTTAAGTAGAATGACATATCTCATTATAAAAAGTTGAGTTGTATATTATGCTTCTGACATCCATGTTATTCGAATTTAGTTTTAGGTAATTCATGAGACAGGGCCGCCTCGACTTCCAAAATTAATTCATTCGTGGCATTAATCTGTAATATCTCATAGCCAATTCTCTTGATATTCAAGACATGGTGTAAGTCCTATTGAGTTTAATGAATCTCTCCCTGCTCTGTCTGTAGCTGGAGAGGATTGACATCAGGTTTTCTGAGGATGCGAATGAAAAGGTTCAACAAGACTGCTGCCCAGGAAAGCCTTTCATTACGTACAGAACAGAGGTAAGTGTACCAGAAACCTGTCTTGGGATTTGTCCCATCATTGAAGCCACCGCAGGGGTTCCAGGTCGGAATAGGTCCTTATGTGGGGGCAAAGGTGGCCCAGTTGTCTATAACGCTGCAATTCACTATGCAGAGTTGCATCCCTTGGAAACGCCAGTAACCTGATTCGCCCCGATGATGTTTTGGTTTGTCAGCACCATACCCGTGCTTGTGGGTTTCACCGAAGTGGTAAATGTCTGAGAAGTGCATCACTTCGGGCTTTCCTCCCACATTAAGCTGACATGCCGTGATATGACTGGAATACTGTTCAAAGCGGCGTGTAACCCAACTTGTTGAAGGAGCCAGCCAATGGGGATTGGGTGGCCATGCTGTGACTTGACACATTGCTGAAATATTGCTGACTAGGATGTTCAAATTAGAGAATTGCTTCCTTGTTGCTGATTGCTGAATTGATATTGTAAAAAAAACCAGTTTTATCAAAATTTGTTTGTCATTTTTCAGCCAAATGTCCCTTTAAAGTTGCTAAATCCTGAGCCCTACAGTGGCCTGTTCGAGACTTCAGTGCCAGTGTTCCAGGGGGATACATCTCAGCAAATTCTCAACCGCCTCAACAAGATGGAGAGGTCAAAGATCAAAGGTGAGTAAGGACCTTAGAGATATCTTTAAGTAGTAACATTAGCGGACATACAAGACGTGTGATACTGGTGAATCTGTGGGCATCTTCCCGAGGCAAGAGAGGTAACTGACTTTAAAAATCCAGTTTCCACCCTTGCCGAACTAGGCTAGAATTCCTGGGCTCTATCGTAGCGCCACCAGTGGCTATTATGAGTTCTGAGCCTCTTCTTTAGACCAATCAGATTCCACCTCTCGTATCACTTGCATTTGCTTGAAACAAAACAGTGGTGCCCAGTCAAGACGATCTGATCGATAATCAAGGTCTATGTTGTGATAAAACAGGTCTTACATCGCGCAATGCGTGAGCACCTTGATTAAAAACATGAAAAGATTAGGAAAATATCTGCTGACAACAAGTTGGCAGTGCACATGCTTTGCAAATCCTGCAATCGACCGAAATCTGCAGGACAGTTTACGAACCGGATTATGATTTCGATGAATGATTTCGATTGCACTATGCATAGACTTGTTAGTCCAGCCAAAATGTAACTCCATAATACCAGCCTAGTTCGGCAAGGGTGGAAACTGGACTTTTTTAGTCAGTTAACTCCCTTGCCTTGGGAAGATCTGTGCGCTGAAAGGTGTCCCAGTCAGATAGCATGAGTAGAGACGTGGGGCTGATGTGGGCACAATGTTTGGATTGTTTGGGAATGTGTGATCAGCAGAAAGGTCTAACTCTCAGCTGGATATGGTTTCCTTTTTTCCCAATCCACTTGCATAAAGACTCAGGTTAGAATAGGTCTTCAGCAACCCATGCTTGGCATAAGAGGCGTCTATGGGGATTGGGTGGTCAGACTCGAATTGGTTGATGCATGTCATCATATCCTAATTGTGTAGGTCGATGCTCATGATGTCAATCACTGAATTGTCTGGTCCAGACTCGATTATCCACATCATGTTATTATATAGCTGGAACATTGCTATGCAAGTTAAACATCAAATAAACAGTAAGTTGATGTCATATTTGGGAGTTTCGATAGTCATAGTGCTAGAATTGGTTCATGCAAGTGGACCAAAAGAGTGGACTGGTGCTGCCAGAGAAAAGGAATTTATTCAGACCCCAAACCATCCAACTTAGAAATTTGTTCCTGCATCAAAGATTTCCAAGGAACTTGATTTAAGTTGCACCAGGTGCATGTTTACTTGCACCTGACAAAACCAGGTTGCATCCTGGTCTCAGATGCATAAACTAGTCTAAATAAATAAATCTCAAATCTCTGATGACTGTTTCATGATTAATGACAAAGCTGTAAAACATAATAGGAACATGTGCAACTAATCTTTAAGTACCCACATTTTGATGATGTGGGGCCCAACAAAACCTGACAAACTACACATAACATTGTGATTAGTATTGAGTGTGTTCAGAGATTGTAGTTGTGTGGAAAAGCATTTGAAATTTTTTGACATGCACTATAGGCATAAGCATGATAAGTATTTGGTATGCACTTTTAAATAATAGGTGAAATAGGTGGATCCAGAGCTGGATCCAGGGGGTCAGGATCCCCCGCTTTTGAAAACAAAATGTAGTATGTTGTAGGCAGTAAAATTATCTGAGAGGATTTTTATATTTTGGACCCCTCTCTTTTAAAAATTCTGGATCAGCCCTTAGGTTGTATTGGCGCATGTTTTATATTGCTAAATCGAGCCCTGTGTTTCCAATAGTGATGCTCACCCACACATAGCTCAGTGAAGGTGTTGGTGGCACTGTTGATGGGCAGCAACATTGACTCCCTCCCACACTGTTTCAGACCTGTCTTCTGTGGTGATGCTGAGGTACGAGGACCCAGTGGTGGGGCCCAGACAGCTCCCGGACATGAACAATCTCAAGAAAGGACTTGTTCCTGTTGGCAACTCCTCTGTGTTCAGCATCAATGTGGAGAGGAATGAAGTGACTGTGGCCGAGGGAGGCAAAACACACAACGTAGGACAGCGGCTGGTGTATATGCTCAAATCCAACTAACTGGAACAGGATTGAAGAGGAGATCACAGATCACAGGAGGAGATGACCAGTGTCTCAGTATCACATCTTGACATCATGCAACTATTTATTTTTCTAAAATGTGTTGTTGGTCTTAGTGCACAGCCTGTTATCATAATGGAATCACCATTTATTATTCCGGGGGAGAGGTTGCTGAGATATTTATAGAGACAGTATTTATCGATCACTGTTTCAAGAAGATTGGTCGCCAGGAGGCAGTAGGGTAGCCCACTGGTTACAGTGCCAAGTCCTATGGAAGGCCTGGGTTTGATTCCTCATATGGGTAGTGTGTGAACTCATTTCTCATGTCCCTTTTGTGATATTGCAGTATTGATGGAAGCTGATCTTGATTCTATTGTCTGTACTTATACCTCCTTTTGTAGAATTTGCCTGAATGTTCACATTGCACCAATATAAAGCTGATTTATCATTTACAGAGTTTCCATGAAAGATGCAGGAATGGGCCCAAATGTTTTAACGAATCTGCATCAGATAATAGAGGAGTTAAAAGAAATAAAGAATAAAAGAATTGTCAGATGGCTGTCACTGTCAGGACCATCCGTTTTCAGAACCTGCATTTCCTTACTTGATGCTTGAAGTAAACAGTTAAAATATTTTGAATTTAAAGAATAAAAATGAAAATTATTATTTCTTAATATTTGTTTTGTCATACATTACTTACACTAAGTGGGGCGGTCGGGTAGCCTGGTGGTTAAAGCGTTCGCTCGTCACGCCGAAGACGCCCGACGGGTACAATGTGTGAAGCCCATTTCTAGTGTCCCCAAAGTAGATTTACTGCAGACCATTATTGCCGACCCATATGAAATGTAAAATACTGACCTGAGATCTACCACGGCTGGCCCACAGGCAGGCATTTATTTTGAACACTGATCTCAAGGGCATTTGGCTGCCACAGGGTGTCAATCCTTATCCCCCGTGCCTTTTCCGACTACCTGACATTGTGTGAAATGTTGTCCAGGATCAAGCAATGATTATGATCTTTTTCTTTTCTGACTTTCTATTGAAAGTTTATATCAGGATGTGAATGATTTCTGGCAACCCTGGACACTATGTGTAGGATATGGTCCGAAAAGTCACGATTATTTTTGCACGTGGGGTCAGTTCGAGGCCGTCAGGCCGAGAACTTGCCCCACGTGCAAAAATAATCGTGACTTTGAGGACTATATCCAACTTAAAACAAAGTCCCATTCAAAATACATGTTAAACTAATGTCCACCCAATATGCACGTGCATATATAATGGAGGGTCGTTCTTGTTTATGCTGAATCGATTGAAACTGCGCGCATGAACGCGCTAAAGTTCGAGCAAAACTATTGGAGGTCTCGTCTAATATGAGCGCGGAAAAGCACGTGCGATTTCTCATTTAGCTTTCAGTCTTTGTACGTGATGAAAATTCATTAGACGAGCTCGAACCAGGCAGCAATTAACTCAGATTTTGAAAGACTCATTAATGCTCATATTGAAATACTTGACGTTGCTGTACCAGATTTTGATGTGGGTAAAAGTGATATCTTGGAATCAGATGAGTTGTCTGGAAATGATACAGATTTGGTGGAACTCTCTCAACACGTAGAAGCAAGTATTCCCCAGGCCATACAAATTCCCGTTACAACTCATAACATTGATGACGCAGATAGTATTTGGAATTCCTAACCTTTTAGCAAGCCTGTGTCAGAGCAAGATCTTCAAAGTCTAAATTGTAATTCGGCTTTTTCTCAGAACACAGAAAACAAGAGTAGCTAGGCCGTCGACGTCTTCCAAGCGCGGGTCAAGGAAAGACAATCCCATGGGTTACGTGATGACGTCGTGTTAAACCCCGACAGTATTGCTCTTTCGCATCGTGAAAGAGATATTAATAAAAAATCTCATGCGTTTCTTGGTGGAAGTACGAAACCTAAAGGGCGAAAAATATCGGGGAAATACGTTATATGAACTGATCGCGATCGCCTCATCGCAATACTATCGCCGAAGATATCCAGATTAACGTTTACGAGTCTCCTTATTTCAAGGGGATGAGAAACGTCTTGGATGCTCGCATGAAGTCATTAGCTAAGCAGGGTATTGGCATTTAGAAAAGACAGGCAAATGTTGTTTCTGTCAGAAATCATGGTAGTTTTATAGTGTTAACACAAATACAGGACGGTTCCTGTATTTGGGGTTTAGTGCCCTTTTGGGATCTGCCGCCTCTGGTTCTGCTATCTCAACTTCGAAAACGTTGACATCCACTGCCTCTACATCGGTTGAGGCAATGTTGACAGCTACAGCGGTGACCTGTGAAGATCCGGGGTAGTATAGGTCTTCAGCAACCCATGCTTGCTGTAAAAGGCGACTATGCTTGTCGTAAGAGGCGGCTAACGGGATCGAGTTGTCAGGATATCAATCACTGGATCGTCTGGTCCAGACTCGATTATTTTCAGACCGCCGTCATATAGCTGGAATATTGCTGAGTGCGGCGTAAAACAACAAACCAACCAACCAACCTACAGCGGTTCTGGATGAAACGTCAACTCTCGCAGTAACTGAAACAACTACAGCCGAGAGTGCAGCAAAAAAATCCATGAAACTCGTATTACCAGATGGGGCAACTTTGTCGTTGTCTTTCTGAAATAAATTTAATTTCTAATGTGTCTCCGTTTCATTTACCTCAGAGGACAGACATCATGGTAGTTTTATAGTGTTAACACAAATACAGGACGGTTCGTGTATTTGGGATTTAGCGCCTTTATTACAAACAGAACTTCAGTTATATCACGGCGGCATGTTCATTGCAGAAGAAAAGCCTGCCAAACTATTGTGGTTATGTGTTGCAGTGAAACGTGCGAACGTCGACTGGCATATGCAAACCAATGGTGAGCGTAGTTCCTTAACTAATTGGGAGGGTGCGTTTCTACGTTTTGTCTATCAAAGTTCACAAACACGGTTCGACTGACATGATCGGGTAATGGAGTTTAAACTATTGGAGGGTGCACATTAGTTGATAACTACTGGAGGGTGAACATTAGTTGTTAACTATTGGAGGGTTTATCTGCAATACACCGACTACTGGAGGATTACAGCATAAATGCGCACGACCCAATTCACACGAACATTCATGTGACTTTGTTTTAATAATATATAAATATCATACCTCAGGGATCTAGGCTGAACCTCTCTTATTGACTACTATGAATAGCCCTGCACAAATAATTATACTACATATAAATATACTGTAACCACAGTTACACTAGCATGTACAGAATACAAGCATTGTAAATTCTACAAAATACATATGTCACTTCTAATCAGTTTATATCCATACTATTATATGTACACTTGGCTAATACCTCAGACAAATACACAATTAAGTTGAATTAAGAATACATTGCAAAAATATCATAATACAATGCCAGCTAAAATACTATACACAACAACAATGCTTAAAATACATAGTAACCTAAGCTTCCAGATAAAGAATATAATAATTAAGTGAACTTACCCTATGTGATGCAGTGAAGAGAATGCGCTGGGAATGTGCTGACCGACCAGTGGAAGTCTACACAACAACAATGCTTAAAATACATAGTAACCTAAGCTTCCAGATAAATAAAGTAATAATTAAGTGAACCTACCCTATATGATGCAGTGAAGAGAATGTGCTGAGAATATGTTCAGACTGACCAGTAGAAGTGTCACCAGGTTCTCCACATGATTGCAGAGATCATGCCAAAAAACTAGAGAACAATAAGCACCTAATCAGTGGCCAAGCCAGTGACGACCCAGTGACAATAGCTATGAATCTAAAGAAGAAATGGCTGAACAACCCAAGCTGTTGACAGAAACTAGCTTACCTATGAATTAGTAAATTTGTGCAAGTGCTGAAGTTAACACAAGTATTAAAGGAAATAAGTATTTAGGTTTAGTTTATTAATTTAATTAATGTACTATAATGATGCTTTAAAATCTAACAGGGACACGGGTGGCCCAGTTGTCTAAGGTGCTGCAATTAGTGTGCATAGTTGCATCCCTTGGGCACGCCAGAAACCTATGGTTTTGGGTTTGAATTCCGGTTCGCCCCGATTATGTTTCTAGGTTTGTCAGCACCATACCGTGCTTGTGGGTTTCACCAAAGTGGTAAACGTCTGTGACTTGCATCACTTCGGGCTTTCCTCTCACATTAAGCTGACACGCCGTGATATAACTGGAATACTGTTAAAAGCGGCGTTAAACCCAACTCACTCGCTCACACACTGAAATCTGCCGTCATATAGCTGGAATAATGCTGAGTGCGGCGTTAAACAACAAACAAACAAACAATAACACTGAAATCTGACGGCATTCTATTCACAAGCATACTGCTCGACCTGTCTGTACCCGGTGACCTACCTGTGCAATGAAGCATTGCTATAATTCAGGAGGTAAGTTAGGCTGAACCATGTGTTTAACTGGTTTAAGGAATAATTGTTAACTACTACACAACACATTGGTTGAATCAGCTTTTTCGTATAATGATAGGGCAAACTGCACAAGACCTTTTCTTCTATTCTTCATGAACAATAAGTCGACTGTTGTGTTATTTTTCATCCTCAATTTGGTTACGCGAGGTTGAATGCTTCATCAATGATGAAGGACTGAAGGTACACTTAGTGACAGGCTACCATCACACAGCTGGAATGTCAGTGTAGCGAACTGATGTCTTTGCCATCATATTAGAAATCATGTCGCGGCATAGATAAACATTTGTTTATGACATTCCAAATGAATCTGATAAAGAATGCCAGTTCGCTCTGCATAATTGTGTCACCTAATTACAATGGTTAGAGTGAGTGACGCCGCTTTTAACAGTATTCCAGTTATATCGCGGCGTGTCAGCTTAATGTAGGAGGAAAGCCAGAAGTGATGCAAGTCTCAGACGTTTACCACTTCGGCGAAACAAGCACGGGTATGGTGCTGACAAACCTACAAACATAATCGGGGTGAACCGGGATTCGAACCCACAACCACAGGTTTCTGGCGTGCCCAAGGGACGCAACACTGCCCAGCGAATCGCGGCGCCTTAGATGACTGGGCACCCGTGCCCCCTACAATGGTTAGAACTGAAAGGGATATATGTCACTTTTCACCTCTCTGAGTTTAAACCCCAAATACATACTTTAAAAAAGCCAACATTCATTGAAATTATTGTTTGTATTTGATTTTAGACTGATGGAGTATATTTAATTCACTGATATAAATACAGTTTTCATTCGCATAAAATGTTCTTTTTTCATTAACAAGTATTCTCTGAAACATTTTCCGATTTTAAAAAGTATATAAGTCCACGGGTCTTGGTTTATTCTCAAGCTGTTATGGAATTTTGACATCACATAAATGCCAAACTTGGTACCACTGCCATTTATTTTTTTAACATTTATGATTGTTAACATGTATTAGGAAGGGAAATCAGTCTGAAAAGAGTAACTTGCATCACGCTGCTTTGTAGGAATGGGCCTTGGCCAGTCCCTTAGGCAAACATCTGGCTAATGGTGAAAACGCCATGAAACACAGAATGAGATACTAAACGATCCATAACTTCAACAGTGTGATACAGAAACTGCCTTGAATTGCAGTGATTGATAACCACAGATGTTGCATATCTAGATCATCGACCCAGGCCTAA